ATTTCCCCTAATTACAGCCGTAATTACCTTAATTTCAGCAAACATTCTGTTAAACTAACTAACTAACTAACACTGTTATCTGTGTGTAAATACTTTCTAATTATAAAGTACATTATAACGTGTACTAAACACATAAAATATTAAGTAATATGAACCTTAGCCACAAGCCCAAGCCCAAAATAATTACGTCCACGCCTGTTAACAGGAAAGTAAAACCTAACTCAAATCAGTTAAGTTAAACTTGTAATACAAATCGCTGTTAACAACAGACATAGAATAAATTACCGCTTTAATTTTCTTGAAGACCCTCGTTTAGGGAAAAGGTGCCGAGCCCTCTGATTGGACTTAGTTCTTTCTAAATAATTAATGCTGTTTAAGAAAATGATATCTCTGCCTCACTGACTGACTCCAAATCAAACAGCCTTTTCAGAGTATTTATAGTCTTTAAAAAAGTTATTTTTTTATGTTATGGTGATGTTATGTTTTGTTTTTTTTGTAGATATTGTGGCAAATACATATCAGTAAAAAACTATGTATGCCGTGTGGTTAACAACAACAACATCACATCACATCAACAGCTTAAAATAGTCCACTGCTGGACATAGGCCTCTCCTTAGAAAGGAGCTTTTGGCCTACTATGGTTATCGGAGAAGTAGAATGAGGGCCAACCCATCTCTTCCCGTGGGTGTCGTAAAAGGCGACTAAGGGATTTTTCGGACTGTTTGTCATCAGACAGTATATATACAGTCCGTGCTCTACTTGTCCTGGTAGCCTCTTCAACCAATGGAATTTGGTACACACCGCACTCTTAGTCCTGTCGCCCATCCGAGTGCTGCGGAACCCCCCCACCCTGATTTCTCACTCATCCAATCCTCCCACCTGTCTAATTCTTTCCCTTCCCTACCCTATAAACGACAACATTCCCAAGGAGGGTTGGTGATAGGAAGGCGGCCGGCCATAGAATTAATTAGCCAAAACATTTCTGCAGTATGAGTATGATGCAAAGTGAGTGCGACAATGCTAGGGCATACCACGTAGGAGACAGCAGCAGCACCCGGCAACGCGAATAAGTAGACAAGGATTGTTGCACCAGGGCACAATCTTGGTGGCCGTACAGTGGTGGCCACAAGAACTCCGTTATCATATTCCTGTAACGAATGCCGTTCACAGTCACTGCAAGTTGGGCCTCATCTTCATAAAAGAAAGGCTCAATCCCGCCGCCTGAACAAAATCCGCACCAAGCAGATGCTCGTTGTGGGTGCATTTGTTTCTCATTGATTGCATAAAAATTTTCTGAGCCCCTAATTTTGAGTATTCACGTAGCCATTCAGATCGAAAAGCGATATCGGATAAGATGACTTTTTTCGAAAAATTGGCATCGACTTCACTTTGCTCCATTGAACCGATTGCCGGCATTTTCTATGGTCTGCTGGTTTGAGCTCTTGAGTTAGCTGAATCTCGTACGCATGAAGATGGTCTTTTAATGGGATCTTTTGTCAGAATTCCCTGCCCAGTGCTTCGTGAAATTTGAAGTTGTTGAGAACGATGCCGAATTGATGTTTTCGGGTTTTCGGCGACACTCTCGTTTACAACAGCAATGTTTACAAGAGATTGAAAGGTACGTTGACGCAAAAGATTCTTAATATCCATAATCAACCCAGATTCTTCAAATTTTTTTAACCACTCTTCGAATGGCTGACACATTAGGAGCACTTTTTCGACTGAAAATTTGGCATAGTTTGCGAGCGGTTTCAGCGTAACTTTCCCCATTTTAGTAATGAGTTTTCACAATTACTCGTATAACGCGATGTTCTTTCAAAAAGCACTCCATTTTTAATAATCGGAATAAACATAGGTGACAGCAGTCAAATTTCAGAGATGCCACTTGTACGAAAAAAAAGATTCTAAATTTAAAAAGTGCACTCTTACTGAGACAGCCTTTACGAGGGAGTCTGAAAGTAGCGCCACTGGATGAAAAGTTAAGAAGTAATAGGTTATCTTGGTATGGACATGTCATGAGGAAAATGTTGCGAAGAAAGTGTTAGGTATGAGAGTTGAGGGGTACAAGAGAAGAGGAAGACCAAAGAAAAGGTGGATGGACTGCGTGAGTGAGGATATAGCTAGGAAGGAAGAATACAGTGAGATGACGAATGATAGAGTAAAATTATAGAATCATCTTTACTACGCCCGTCCCAAATAAAATTGGGACTGCATCCCTCAAACAATTTCCATTATTATCTCTATCAGCCTTATTGATAAAGAGCAACTACTACTGTACGATAAATGTACTTTTTTAAGACTAATGAATTAACGAAAGAAAGAGCTGCTTCAACAGTAAACTAACTGTCAAAGAATCTTCCGAAATACACCAGGACTTTTAATCTAACAAACTGAAACCATTCTTCTCTGCTCTTCAGATAATCATGTTCCAAAGTTCTGTCAAGATTATTTCTCTTTTTTTCTAGTTATTAAAAGCTTTTTTCTATTAAACGAAACTTTGAGTATCTTCAAAAACCTCACCCATCGGGGAATCGAGCCTCACCCACTCGGTTAAAAGTAACAAAAGAATTGCTAACCAGTTTTTTTGTGAGGCCGTGGTTTCACGGCTGTGCCACGTCATAATGTGTTTTCAGATTGACCAGGAAATTCTAGTCCGATTCGCTGTCGATTTTTGGGGTCACACAGCATTAATATTGTCAAGGTCGCAAATGCAAATAAAACGGTGGGGTGTTATCAGGGCACCGTTACCTTGAAGAACTGCACCTAAAGTTTGCACGCGAAGGCAATGCGACGTGCTGATTATTATTGAACGCTGTAAAGCTTGTTTTTAGTGTTAACCTTTGTGGTTTATCGCCAGTTACTCACGTGGTTTTAGTAGTACTTCAAATAGATTGAGGCACTGTCTCATAAATATGTGTACTTAGGTTTGAAAAGTTTAAATGTACTTCAATCTGAGTCATCAACATCATCAACAGCCTATACTAGTCCACTGCTGGACATAGGCCTCTCTTTTTCTCTGAGTAAATTATACAAATGCACATGATTTTTTCGTTTTATTTCAACTTACTTTAATAGTAAGTGATCAATCTTAGGACTATTCTTTCTCCTATTGCCAATTGCCTAATGCCAATCCAGGTTTTAGTTAACCAGTTTTAATATTCGTATAAAAAGCTTGCCAAAAAAATATTTAATATTTCCTGTTAGCGTTTTTGTTAATTGGCATAATTAACCAGTTACTTAGTTATGTAATTAACCAGTACATCTTAATGTGACGGCATCTTGATTTTTTCGTAGCTTGTTCCTAGTCCTCGAAAAATACTTCCCTTTATAGGAGTTATGACTGCAAAAAGGTGGTAATTTGACAGTACTACTTAACAGTACAATTACTTAAAAGTGTTTTTTGTACTATGTAACTTGTAGAACCAACTATTTAGATGTACGTGACGTGAAGTTAAAAGATGGTGTACAAATTAAATTTTATGTATCTATTAACAATATCATCATACGTTTTATTACACCTAGACAATGAGAGAAAGGCATTCTACTAAACCCTAGCTCTTTTTTGTTTCACTACGTACAGAATGGCCACGTCACAACGCTAAAATCAAATAGAAGTTCCTACAGAAAATATGGCGAATATTGAATCGCTGAATTCAATTTGGTTGAAGTGTTAGGAAACATTCAATAATTATGTTAGCAGAAGTTAAGGGGTGAGAGTTCATGTAAAATCTTATTTTAACTGATATCGACCTTCGTGCAATCGGAGCTCTTCCAAGATATTGATACTGGCGTTGGCTTCAGTAAATATTATAGATTAATTAAGACAACTTGCTTAAAATTACGATGAAGACGTAGAAAGTACACTTAAACTTTCCAGGATTATAATTGTCTAGGAAAAGGAAGCAAGCAGATGATTCCCATACTTTGTTAATTGGAATCAAAAAAGAACCCGACCGTTCGACTATTATTATAACGCTATGCTGAAGACAGATCGTTTTTATTTCGCCAACTAATGCTGTGATGGATGAAAGAAGATACAAACCCATATTTCTATCAGTTGTTATACCTTTTAACATTAGTCTTCTTGGATAATTTAGAACGTTATATAGCTCGTTCGTTGTTTGTTTACCTAAGGCCAATTACATAAAGTTCTATAATTTGTTTTTCTATATCTCGTTCTTATAGAAAATATAAAAGTAGAACCTACAATTACAGTTAAGTTCGAGTGTGATGCAAGATATCTTTATTCACAGATTAAATATTTCGTATCAAATAATAAACGAAGTTCGAGTCCCATTCCTGATCACGGACATTAGATATTGATAAAATCAAAATTTCATACATTTTTACCAAAGTTCTTTGATATAAAACGTCATTTATATCGGATATTACAAAAATTATTACATACATTTAGGTTTATTGTTATTTCAAGCAAGTACCTATTGAAATATATCTTTATAACATCGTATTTGATCAGTTTAATGTATTACAGTATTGTAGGAAGCGTTGATAACTTTGTAAGTAATGTGCTTAATATGTGGCATACTTTTATGTGAAGTGTTTTTTTGGTTGCCCGAATAGCCTATACAGAAATTTTGTTAATACTTTTCTTGTTCCATTTAGGTATATCGTCTTCAGCAATAAACTTTAGGAAAACCTTAGAAGTTTCTTTCTTTCGAAACAAAGCTCCAGACTGAAAACTTTGTTGTATAGGATCAATACAAACAATACTGATAACGTGGCATATGTATTTTCGTTTACCGTATTTAATTATAAGTATACTAAAACGTTCGTTAGATACCCATTTCTTTTTAATAAGAGCAGTAACGAGGGTCACATTACTAGTATTCTTAAGAATTAACAAAATAAACCAAGAGTTGGTTTTCATTTAGCGAAGCAGTCACGTAAACCACCACAAATTACCAATTTTCTACTAATTATCTTTAAATTACCAAATAAGTAACTGATGAATACTTTTACTCACGTCATATTTGTTTCAGATTGAAGACACAATTAGTAGAAAAGGCGGAGGGACCTTTTTAGTTCCAATGAACGGCGGTATTTGGACCATGTGCGTCGCTTTAGACGGTATGCCAGTTTTGTAAATTTTTCATAGACCACCAATCGGCTTTAAGTTTGTTTGTGTGTGTGTGTGTGTTTGTTGTTATGCTGTTTTTCATCTCTCAAATACAAAATTAAACCACCTTACAGTATTTACTTATAGAAAGATCAATGTGGATTAACATTTTTGAATAACCTAAATACTGTGATTAATTTTAGGTAAAGTTATAATCAAACTAAAACTATAAAAACGTAACAAAGCGTTCTACTACCCACATTCTGGCTTCATCATCAGACGATAGTTACAAAGGGTTCATCTTATATATTGAAAATCCCAGGTTAAACAATAAATTTCTCTCTACTGCTGAAAACTAATTACTGAAACCTTAAACTTTATTTCCACAAGTTGTAAAGTATATTATTCAATACCCTATGTACAATAACTCAGGTAAAGTCTGGATCTTAAGAGAATCTGCGCGAAGAAACTAATATAATTAACACTTTCAGAGGAAGAAGTGTCCATACTGTCGAGAGCTGGATTCCCTTCACAACCTGTATGCACAAACTATTTAGCGAATAGCGACGGTGAAGAACCGCGAGCTGATTGGCAACATCGTAAGTTCTATACATTAATTAATAACTAGCTGTACCCTGCCACGTTTCGCTGTGGCACATTGAAATTACATTTATGAGAAGTGAGGAACAAAAACTGACTCGAAAAATAGATAAAAGCCATCCTTGAAGTGGTTTGTATATATCATGTCAAAAGAACTTAATTGATGCAGAACTTTTTGGAGCGTACACCTACCAACTTAACATTTTCATATACATATACATATAGATATATCATCATCATCATCATCAACAGCCTTTACTAGTCCACTGCTGGACATAAGCCTCTCCTAACAAAGGAGGTTTTGGTCTACTATACCACGCTGGCCAGACGGGTTGGTATAGGGTTTGTTTCAAGTTTTCCTTCTCTCTGCAGTGCTGTTGCCCTGCTTAGTTTGCTTCCTTAGTCGCCACTTACGACACCCACGGGATGAATAGGGGTGGTGACACTCTGTATTCTTAATCCGTCACCACACGGATTCACACGGATAGATATATAGATAGATAATAAATATATATATGTGTCCTCCTCTGGAACGCTCTACCTCTAGAAATCAGGATAGCACCCAGCCGCCTCTCATTTAAGACGAAAGTCCGAGCTCGCATTTTGGACAGCCCATCAGATTCATCACAACCGTAAAGTTTTATATATTATTTGTGTATATTGTAACTAAGCAAGTATAAATGTATTTCAGTATGTATGTATATCGGTTCCACTGTTTCTGTCAAACTTCTCATTTATTATTGTTGTCTTTTTAAAACAATACTTAATTTTCAGTGCACCTACACAGACATCTTCCTACCACCTAAAGATTGACTGGGAGAAAATGTATGTGGTATTAAGACCGCCATTGTACAATTGAGTTGTAATTTATGCATAAAGAATTAAAATAAAATAAATAGAATATACCTATATGTGTTTACTAAAAAATACGCAAAAATTGACGACGAAACACGATCATACCTGCCTCTGACGACCAAAACTTGCTCGCATTTCGCAATCATATTATCATTAACGACAAACTTGCAAGTTCAGTCTAAAGGTTGCCTGGAATAGATTGCTTAAAGCAATAAAGCCGCCCTTTGTTCATTACTTGATGACATCATACCTTCGCTGTAATGTACGATATTTTCATAGTAATAATGGCCCGTAAAAAAAGAGTTGACTAACTATCTACTGTAAAAGTTAATTTTCTTGTTACTATATTTTTATTGAGTAGTAAATAATATGAATAGCATATTTAAATACGGAAAACTAAATACCTATTTATGTGTAAGAATAATATTATAGTCAATTCCAAAGATTTGCGAGAAAATGGCCCTAAACATGTGATCCCTCTGACCTGTCCAAGTACAGACCTATAGCTATAACTCCTTTGTTCTCTAAGATTATGGAATCCATTATCAACTGCCAGCTCCTCCGGTACTAATATGATCACAAGCTACTCAATGACCGACCGATATGGCTTTCGCCGCGGTCGCTTAACTGGTGATCTTCTCGTCTTTCTAACACACCGGTGGGCACAGGCGATCGAGACCAAGGGAGAGGCTTGTGCAGTTGATTTAGACATAGCGAAGGCCTTTGATCGGGTCTGGCATAAGGCGCTTCTCTCGAAGCTCTCTTCCCGAAAATTGTGTAATTGGGTCACCAGTTTCCTTGCGTACAGATACGTTGGGTTGTTGTCGACGATGCATGCTCCGACTTGAAATTCGTAAATGCTGGTGTCCCACAAGGCTGTGTCCTATCACCCACACTGTTTCTTCTGCATATCAATGACATGTTGCAAACTAGTAGCATCCATTGCTATGCAGATGATAGCACAGGAGATGGCCTCTACACCGGATGCCCCAATATTTGTCGGGAAAACGTCATCGGGAGTTGGAACGAGAAAGTGTGGAACGGGTTATCGTCTGCGGTATTTCCGGACCGATACGACCTTCAAACCTTCAAGAAAAGAGCGTACTTCTTCCTAAAGGCCGGCAACGTGTTTGTGACTCCTGAGTTGCAGACGTTCATGGGCGGTGGCGATGGTTTCCATCAGGAGACCCGTCTGCTCGTCTGCCACCTCTAACAAAAAAAAAACAAAAAAAATGCTGCATATTCTGTAAGGTTTTCTTGTCGTTGCAGTAGATTTTCCTGTAGTGTTATATATTATTTCTTTATAAATTTTCGTTTCTGTAGCCAAAAAAATAGCCAAACATGGCTTTGAATACAAGGCACTATTGTTAATTCAAAGGGATTTAGTTGATTCAAGGCTACAGCACCAGCGTTATGTTTGTGGCATCACCTTTTAAAAACAACTAGTAATGTCTTCAAGAGGCTTGGAAATAGTACGTTGTTATTTATTCTACAATAAAGATGACTTGTGAATTCTTAATTATTGTTATTTTTTCATTAGAACCACACACATTCATCAACAACCTTTAATAATCCACTGCTGGACATATGCCTCTCCTTGGAAAGGAGGCCTACTAGGAGGTAGAGGGTTTGTGTCAAGTTTTCCTTCTTTAACATATTAACATTTTAATTCAGACAAGGTAGAAACGGGATAAATGAGAGGGCCTGATATACACTCATCTGCGTATTGTCTTCACAACTACTTGGTTGGATTCTTTCAGAATCAAGTTTGATTTTTGCCACCTGCATTTGATTTTTTGATTTATTTGATTTGATTGTAAATCCAAAGGTATAACAAAAAAAAAACCAAAGAAATATAACCCTTTCACTTTGTTATTTTGCCGAGAAAATGAACAAAGTAATCATAATAATCTCCACCAGGCTGTATAACTAACATCGCTCTTTTAGACTCAGTACACTTATGTTAAAAATTTACAACATCTAGATGATACAATATTCAAGAGGCATAAGTCAAGGTATGCATAAAGAACACCATTTTTATCCCTCGATTAGTTAACCTTGGCAAGTCCCATTTGCTTTTGCCCGAATTCATTTATCAAAATGTTTTAAGGCCAAAGAAGTTTAAAGAAAGTAATAAAATGAATTCGCTAGTCGTTTTATGCTCACGGTGTTAGTAATTCATACATTAATAAATAAATAAAAAGTCAGAAATCTGTTTTGTATTGTTAGTGATACACAGATGTCAAAACTATCTCAGAGCCGTTTACTTAATAATCATCATATAGGCCGGCTCGATCTGTCTGATACCACGGCTTTGCAGAAAGCCATTGTTTTTCACTAAGTGGATGAGATTATCGGAGGCCCAAACTCTCCCTCCCTTTATGACTCCTTTATGACAACGCACTTGTGACTCTTGTGATGCAGGTGTCATGGGTGGCGGGAGTTACTCACCATCAGGTAAGTACCCTGTCTGTTTGTTTGTCCCATGCGATAAACAAAAAACCCACACTCTTTAGAATATAATAAAGAAGTTGATTTTACATTATAAGCCAAATATTTTAGACATTAGACGCCAAGTACATCTATAGAAGGAAAAAACACTCTTACTTTCTGACTTTCTGTTTTCTTCCTTTCACCACTCAGAACATCGACGTATTACGTTATAAAGGTTTTTTTTTATATTTCCATAAATTGGACCCTAAAGTAATATTATTATTATCTTTACAAGTTCCTGCTTGTAAAGATAATAATAATATTACTTTAGGGTCCAATTTATGGAAATATAAAAAAAAGTTCACTTAACTCTTTCTTTGAATATTTAATAAAATCTTTTTCCTAAACGCATTATGAGAGACCACGCACTTTAAGTCCGTATTAAAACTGATCATGAATGACTCAGCCACAACTTCTGAATAATTTTCAGCTAGTAGGAACTACTGTACTTACTGAAATACCTACTGAATTTTAAAGCATATTTACGGAGGGTAACTTCACTACCTTTAACAAAATCGCATAAATATATAACTAGATTTTAGACGCACGATGTGGTTTCTATGTATGGTAAAATGTTATTGGTTATAGGCTTAATAAACTTTCGAGTTGCACGATAAATAAGTTTCCATAAGGAAAATAAAGCAATTGGTGCGCTAATACGTACGTTTCGACCAGGTTACACTGGCCGTGGTCATTTAATCAGTCAAGTCTATCCATACAAATATTATAATTGCGAAAGTGTCTTTTAAGAAAGACTACTTCCGCACTATGAATACTCGTATTTCCTGTGTCGCGAACACTACAAACATAATTAAAACGGACACAAAGAACACCCAGACTCAGAACAACAATTTGTTGATCGCACAGTGTTGTCCCATGTGGGGATAGAACCCACAACACTCAGCACGGTAGGAAGCAGCGAGGTGTCCGCTTAAACCACTGTGAAGTCAAGTTTCTGTCTGTCTGTCTGTTACTTATTTTCGCTTTTTTCTTCTTTTTTAACAATTTTTATCCCAGAATCATCCATTAAGGGGTGAAAAGGGGGGTGGAAGTACGAGTATGTTTGAAAAATTAATAACCACTGAACCGATTTAGATGAAATTTCGTATATAGATATATACATAGATAATTTGATTATTGAAGGACATAGGCTAATTTTTACCACATTTTTTTTTTAATGGTAAACGGGGGCAAACGAGCAGAGGGTTCACCTGAGGATAAGTAACTTCCGCCGCCCATGGACACCTGAGACTCAAGGGCGTCCCTTTCCCTGTCCCTTTGAGTCCCTCACCCTTGAATCAGGAGGATTGAGAATCTTACTTCAATTGCAAAACCTAAAAATATGTAATTTCCCAAGATGTTAAAGCAATTGTTTTTTTCCTTTAGGTATGCAGAATCTATCCATATCATGCGCCCTTGTCTGCTTGATAGTGTTGGGAAGTGCGGCTTTGGTCGGTGCTTTCGGCATCTGCAAACACCAAATAAGCGCTGTGCTTATAACTGGTGTTATGTATCTGTTAGCTGGTGAGTACCACAGATTACCTACATATTCTGCAGACTCTGTTAAGTATTTTGGATAAAAACCAACAGTGGCCTTTACTCAAGGTGTGGAGCGACTTGCCACCTCCGTGTGAGACGCTACTCTCTTTCTCGTTTGATTTAGGTACGGCTGTCTTAAAAACAAATCCTATATTAATTTTAATTACTCTGACGTTACAGTTATCTGTGAATTTGATTGCAATACAAAGGAATATTACTATGTCATAAGAAAAAACATTTAAAATTACAAATACAAATTTTGTAAGTTTTAGACGTAAAAATTATTAAAATTATAGCAAGAAGAAGAAAAAAGTGATGACAGCATTGACTTTTTTCTAGTTTTCTCATTTTTATACGACAAACTTTACGTGTTATCATCATCAACAGCCTTTACTAGTCCACTGCTGGACATAGGCCTCTCCTTGGGAAGGAGGTTTTGGCCTACTATACCACGCTGGCCAGACGGGTTGGTATAGGGTTTGTGTCAAGTTTTCCTTCTCCCTGCAGTGCTGTTGTTCTGCGTAGTTTTTCCCTTAGTTGACTCTTACAACACCCACGGGATGAATAGGGGTGGTGACAATCTGTATTCTTAATCCGTCACCACACGGAATCAAATGTTCTAAATAAATTTTGGTCTCTGGTGTAAAATTGGATATTTCAAAACATGACATTTCTACTTTCTGCCACTTATTAAAGTTTTTATTCCCATTTTAAAACATTTACATTACTAACATATATTTTCTTTACAGGGCTGTTTGCAATGTTTACTCTAATGATAATACACTTTAAGCGTGTTCAACGCGTCTCTGCTCGCGGCAGTTCGCATATAGACGGCACAGACGACGGAGTGGTGGGTCCACGCGGCCCCGCCATGACTCTCCTCTCAGCTAGAGAGTTCTCCACCTCATGGTCTCTTGAACTCGGATGGGGAGGCGTGGCCCTCGCAACAACCACGTCCCTTCTTTGGATATTACTGTCTAAAATAATGAGATATAATCCTATATCTGCTATGCTGTTATAAACTTGCGCTGAACGCGATTGAAATTTTCCCTTAATATGATTTAATAAATAATAGTCAATTATCAATTTTAAATAATAGAACCCGATTATTGTTCGAATATGTAGCAAAAGAGGGGAAAACTTCAATTGATAACTTTGTATATAGTTTAAGCATTTTAATTTACAGTTCATGGTTGTGCGTTTAAAACATAATGCTTAATAAAAAATAGTACATTTTTGTCCTCCATCTCTTAAGAATCCGAAGAGCGCTACAAAATTTTCTTTTATTCCAACATTGTGCTTTGAATTTAAAAAGGCTTTAGATAATCGCAGAGCTTGCTGCCGTCCATTGCTATTAATGTTATTATTACAGCCTACTTCTTCTTTATAATTATACCTTTAAACTTTCACAGTCACACACACTTTCAAGTCTAAACCTCCTTTTTTAAAATTGTCATTTAAAATTTGGATATTTTACCAAAATTCTTACATTGATATTTAATAAAGATTATAAAGTTTTTTATTTGTATTAAAGGGGGCAGATGATCAGACGGGTCATCTGGTGGAAAGTGACCATCGCCGCCCATGAACGTGGGCAACTCGGACTTTTAGGAAGGAGTGCGCTCTTTTCTTGAAGGTTTAAGGTCGTATCGGTCCGGAAACACCGCAGAAGATAACCCGTTCCACAGATTAGTTGTGCGGTGCAAAAAGTGTCTCAAAAAGTTTGATTATAAACATACAAAAGTCTATGAAAATAATTATATATCCCTTACAAAGATATAATATTCTAGAAGCTCTCATTCGTATTTATTACCATGAATACAGTATGTTTACTGATTGGTTTCAATTAGATCAGTAGGTATTTGCACTATGTCTAAGTTTCTAGTACTACGGACCTACTTACTATCAAATAAAAATACTAGATAATTAGATCGAGATTGTAATAGTTTGAATAAACAATTTATGCCGTGTAGTGACTCTTAAAACTTTAAAAATCAGTCAAACTTAAGGCCACTGCCTGCTCCAAAACACACCTACCAGCGATTTTGGCGGTTTTCCTAACACAAGGGCTCTTTGCCAAACGTCACATATTTTATTGCTGAATTTCCGTATTTGGTACCCATTAAGTAATAATGATTAATTATTCAAACAGCACGACTTTTATGCAATGTAGTCTTTTTAGAGTATCAAAATTGGGAGTCGTTGATTCTGAAATGTTGAGTATGCGATGGTAATTTAGATTTAAAAAGAATTATAAGCATGTAGTTGTATTAGTCTATTAGTAAACATACTAAATAGTTAGATTGTATTTTCTTGACTTGGTAATATTTCTTTATGCTTCCGGCAAATGTAAACTTGAGTGCACTGAATGTAATTGTTACAAGCTTTATACTTTTTGCGTAGGTACATCACTAAGCAAGATCACGTGCATTAAAAAGAGGTTTTATTTTATGGTTCAATTTCTTTAACAAATCATGATATTGAAAATCATTATCTTTATCTACTGAATCTGCAATAATAGGCACTAAACAATTTTTAATGTTATTGAAGTAGTCACCTCATGGCCTATGGTAGTTAATATTTAAATATATCAATGTTTCACTGATCGTAGTCATACATAGTATATGAAGCACATAAAGTTATCCAAAAGAATAATAGTATTCGAATGAATAATGAAAAAGTTATTCAGTTATTATTTATTGAATATTTCAAAGAATGGTGCCATAAGAAATAAAATACAAAATTATAAATTTGAAATGTCAGATTTATAACTATTATGTATTTATAATGCGCAAGTTTTGAGGATCAAGCTCATTGGAGCATGTTCTAAATTGTGAATACCTTAAAGGTTCTAATGTCAAGGATAAGCTTCTGCTTTTTTTGGTTATAAGTGAGAATTAGTTTTCGAACTCCAGTGAGACAGAGAGGAATAATTTTGCCCTCTCGAAAGCGATATACCAATTGCAAAGACTGTTAAATGGTTGTTCGGTTAAAAGTTTCGTTTTATGAAACTATTCACGCAACGTAAACCGTTCTCTTATAGATTTATTTGATACTCAAAGCGAATGTACTGCCGTGTGAAAAGTAGTAGTGGCGAGTCGGTCAACTGCGTTGCTGTGTTTTTTCTTTTGTGCACCTCTTTTACTTCGAGGGAAAATAAGCATATGCGTGATCTATTAGGTATATATGGAATAACTATATTCTCTATATCTATATTATGTGAAGAAATCTCTATTTCAATTTTATCATGTGAGTATTAAAAACCAGTTTTTGTGATTGATGATTGTTAACTTTAAACTTGAAAACTAAAGCGTCTTTTTAAATTCCTTATTTAGGCTCGCACAATGTTGCTGTTATGTATATCTATCTAGGTACCTTACAATGTAGGGTCAAATTTGGTATTGTTTTAAATTCTTTCTACCATCGTTGGAGTGTTTAGCCCAAAAATGAATACCCACTTATGTAAAATCTAGGCTAATCTAGGACTTACGAAAAAGCGTTTTGCCATTCATAATTGCCATAAAGAAAATGTGTACCTAATACTGCTAGGCAGTGTTTTTTCAAGAAGCTAAAACATGGAGCACACTTCATTCTTCGTTGTTACATAATAGTTACGACTTATAAAAAAATTGACGACTCGAAATATTTGCAATAACATTTAAATCCCGTAGGGGTTGCTTCTATGCTGAAGCAATTTTTTGACCTTCATGTCACAGTATGAGTTGAACCTAACACCGTGTCTACCCTTTAACATGGACCTTTCGAAAACGATGGTCTACAATTCCTTGAATCTAAATTTAATTAATAACGAATATTGTACGTATAAATATTTAAAAACGGATTTGGCACATAATGTTAAAACTAAACTCCAAGTGAAAGATAAACAATGAACATCTTGAGTTCTTACATTATTAAAATTCCAAATCTCTCAATGGAAATTGGATTGTGGTTGACACGCTTTATAAAATTGAATCCTCCGCCTAATTAGTTATATTTTTAATACAGGTATCTCACAAATATTTAAATTAGAGATATCAAAAAATTTGATCGAATAATTTTGGGATACAAAAAATGCAAAATGTTTTATCTCAATATTCCGATTCCGATATAACCTTTTACAATATTACTTTGTTTTTGCGCAGTCAGAATATTTGCACTTTCGAATTTGTAAAATGTTTGCAAAAGATAGCAGTGTGCTTCGATATAAGTATTTGGCAAATTGTTAAAAATTATAATCTCCATAAACTGTGTGAAAATCTACCGTTTTATGTGTATGCAACACAGTTGCAAATATAATTAAGTAGGTATATTAAAACTAAGCTTAAAGCACATTTTGTAAAAAGCATCGTTCGTAATGTGAGGTTGTTCATTTCAAATGAATGTTGTTCGTTCGGTGTTTTTGTTAATAAAATTGTTCTTTTATACTTTGAAGTCATAAAGCAATATATTTATTTTGTTTACAATTTGTAGTTTCATTGCCCCTTAACCCTTCTAATGTTTATTAGATTGGAAATTGATTGGTCATTTTAGTTCATATTTTCATAAACTATCCATCCAAACTTGTAAGTACTTCCACCGAACATTTTTTCGTAATACGTGATATTAAAATAAAGCTTTTGTACTTCTGCGCTTTTATAAGGTCGTACTACTTACCTACCTCGTACAATAAATTGAAAAATATCCAGAACCAAGTTGACAGATTGATAAATGCAATATGTAGTAATTCATAAAAGATTGTTTCAATAAAGTTACAATCGTTTATACAGTATGTAACGTAAACTTTCAATTTGTTCTGCTTCTTAAAATTGCCAGTTTTACAAGGCCGAAAATTTTAGTGTAAATTTTTTATATGTTGATCTTATAAAGTATCTTGTGCTTACCAAGTCTAGTCAAATCAGCTATTTTTGTATTCGGAGTCGACCTGAGGTAACGATTTTTGACCCCCCTATGACGTCTGTAATCATCATCATCAACAACAGCCTATCGCAGTCCACTTGTGGACAGAAGCCTCTCCCAATGCACTCCACTTCGATCAATTTTTGGCTTCTCGAAAATTGCAGCTGTCTATCTATCATGGTTCATGAGATACAGCCTGGTGACAGACGGATAGACTGACAGACAGACAGACAGACGGACGGGCAGCGGAGTCTTAGTAATAGGGTCCCGTTTTACCCTTTGGGTACGGAACCCTATAAACCGTAGTGAATAACAGAAAAATAATCCAGGAACCACGTTTCATAGGTAAATGACTACAATGACTGATTGCCAGATTTTATACATTAAAATCAATCTGAATTCAATGAAACAAAAAAAGTAATTAAAATTCCAGTGTTGCCATTATTCACGTGTGCCAATTACCCGAAATACAGGCAATTTTTAGTTTATTAGTGAAATTAATTTATTAATTATTAATTTAATACTTACTACTAGGTATTATATTCCATTTTTTTTTTCTAAGGATTATGAGGTATGGAGAAATTTGTGGGAAAGCTGCCGCCGCCATTACGGTGCCTCAGTGTTCTCTTAGCGGGAGTTCCTTCCGACTTTTTTATACGTCCATTATCATATGATTATTTAAAAGTAGCAATACTTTCCATCACTAATACATGGCCTTCGAGAACGAACTCGTAAATTACCTCAGTCATTACCATGTCAAGTGATATTATCAATGTACTGAAGGTATAAATTACCGTATTTAGTGAGTCACAGCTAGTACTACAGACAATAAATATAATGACGATCATCCATGCATCGATTTATTTACCAAGGCAAGTGCCTACGTAATTCTAGTATTTAAGTAACGAGGTCAAAAAATGAAATCAAAGTAAGGATTACATATGGGTAGTTAGAAGAGGAACGAGCACCTTGAGGCTTGAACGAAAGCACCTTTCTCTCTCAGGAAGAAACGAACAAAGGTAGGTTCAGTAGGTAGGTAGTAGTAGTAGGCATAATGCATATAGTAGAGTAAATTTCTACATACGCCGTATATTCACGAATTTTGTTCCTAAAATTAGTAAAATTGTTTTAGTATATGAGTACCTATTTTACTATAAAATATTTTTAGTATAAAAACGAATAATGTAACTTTATTAATTTTATCTATCAATATACAGGATCTAACCTGTCTAAACATATGTCATATGGACAAAACGAAATTGCTTAAACAGCATTTTACCGTTTGCAACTAGCAAACTTTGCTAGCGTTTTGCCAGTCTGTAATTCGGTAAAACTTATAACCAGATCCATATTTAGTAATCAAATAAATCCTTTTTTTGAAGTTGTACCGACTTCAAAGAATACTGACAAAAAGCACTAAAAATTAAAAAATAATTACAAATCTAAGTAAAAAAAAATCGGTTGTCTGTAAAGTCGGTTTACTGACGATAGTTGAACGTGACAACGTCATAAGAAAATACTCATGGAATGGTAGCATTTTTTTAAAATGTATTATTGTATACGAGTAGCAGCTGTCCACGCGGACGCATCGCTCACTCAAGTAGGAGAGAGACAGATGTCGAACGCTGCCGAACGCGGAGGCCGATTGTGCCTCTTTGTCACTCGTTACGCGCTCTCGCTTGCACTTCACGCCTTAAATGGAACGCCTCAGAGCGAGGTAACGCCGCATGAGTCATGTTTTTTCGTGCGTGCAGCCGGCTCCATCGAATTATAAGACGTTGTCACGTCAAAAACTACGAGTATAATAAGTGACCTCAGGTAACATTATAATAGCAATAGTCCTTTCTAATGTGTGTAAAGTCGGTACTAAGCCAAATAGGGACTTGATAGGCTTGTTAGAATATAGCGTGGCAGCTGCAAGAGTCTTCATGCTGCGCAAAACATGCTGAACGAGCTAAAGTGGGTAACGCACGTCTCAAATGATATAACTATTGTGAATGTTTTATTAAGTAGTTGATAAGTCTTTATTAATTAACAAAATCTTATTAAATAGAAATAGAATTATATTGAATTCTTAATTCTTTATTATGCTAATATAAAGCTGACATAGACCAGTATTACTTATTGTGCATCGGGCTTGGCACCGACTTCAAACAAACTCCAAATGACTATTGTTATTATATTATCTGTTATATTGAGGGTACTTAATTTTCTAATCTTTTAAAAAAATCTTTTAATTTTTAGTGGTCTTTGTCAGTATTCTTTCAAATAACAAAAAGTCCGACTTAATGATATAATAATTCGAAACATCATAAATTCGAATTCTTTTTATTTGATTTCGAATAAAAATATCTTAAATCGCTGGTCACAGTTCTGACATAACTTTACCCAAATGATGACACCAATAATAGAGGGGATCTGGCGCTCGCACGCCTTCGCGCTTTGGTCATGTTGGTCACAGTTCTAACCTAACCTAACCCAAAGAATTCAATAACAGTAGGTAGGTATATTATTTTATAGGTATATTTAAGAAGAAGAAAACACAAAAAAATTGAATTCACAAATATTAACAACAAGGTAGTAATTTTTAAATTACATTAAACGTTGCACATAGCGTTTGTATATATATGCGTAACTGAATCATAATCAGAATCTTAATTTATTTAGTTTATTCGAACTTTCTTTCTAAGAAGAGTCTAGTAGTGGACTGTTAAAGGCTGTTGATGATGACGATGATGATTCGAAAAACTGAAAATCAGAATGTAGTTTTTCGGACCGAGAACGTAAAAAAATCGGAAAACAAACACATCGCATTTATGACTTGTTAAAATAAATTTTGAGCATTGTATTTAATAATGTCAGATTATATTAAATATAGTTTAATAATTCCGTTACTTTCGAACCAAAGGGGTATTACACCGTTCCAAATAAAAAATGAATTTTCATAGTTGGTTTACAAATTAAAGAGTTTTGAGGTAACAAACATGAAAATAATTGCTTTACAAACTTCTTTTTCAAAATGTATTGTAATCTTATATCTCAGGTGCACGTATCTCTGTAACCCAACACAAAAACCTAACAAATATCTTGAAAGAATAAAACAAGGTCAATACATGATTAACATTTTGAAAGAGTTATCCTCTTACTCCTATAAGTCAAAGTTCTATCATCAGCTAAATTTTAATAATTAATTAATTTAATTCTTAGGTATTATGAAATTCGGACTTTTGAAAATCGGAAGATCCGTATTCAGAATAAAATAATTCGGAGTAATTAGGTGTTCCCGCGCTGGTAGTGCAACTTGGTAACCTAGCGGCTTTCATTCGGCCAGTGGTACGCTGGCCAGCAGTTATGAGAGTGAGAAATCATATATTAATATATGATTTACATATTCCCTCTTTCTGTCCCCATTTTTTTTTCGCTTTGCGTGTAAATGTATTGCTTGGTTAAGTTTTGTATATTTACTAAATTTTAGTGCACCTAATCACTCATTTCTACACCAACCTTAAATAGACTGGCAGAGAATGCCTAATGGCCGAATGGCCATTAAATAAAATAAATAAAAAACCTAACTCACAGAAATGTTTTCGACATATTTCTACAAAATTAATCCAGTTTAAGAACCAGTGATAGATAAAACTTTTGGTAATATCAATGATGATTGTTGTTGTAATAATTAAAGTTACTCACAGAACACTGCGATTTATTAATATTGTTGCGCCATATGATTAAATGGTTCGATTGTATGAAATGTGGAAGACAACGCCATCTAGTATCGACTAAAGTACATCTATTAAGATTGTGGTTCATACGAGTAGTTCTTATCCTTACAGCGCTAGATGGCGCTGCAAGTAACGCGTGACTGATTGTGACGTGATTCTGAAAATTCATGTTGGTTTGGAACAGTTTGGAACTAACTATCGACTACTAGAGATTTTTCTAGTAAAATCAAAAGCGGAGCTTGTTGGCCATTCGAGACAGTTTCGTTTTACGACACAGCGAATTAACATCGGAATGAGTTTCTAGTGCCACTAACAAGGTAAATAGAGATTCCTAGTGGTGAGTGTTTGTAAATACAGTGAAATAAAGAAATTAACCGACATTTATTTATTATACACCCCGCTCATAACAATTTTATTACGTTAGCGCCAGACACGCGATAGATCCAAAATCCAAAAAAAAACTATCTTTTTAAAAAGACGTTTAATTGATTTTAATGACATTTATCTTTGTCTATGACCAAAACACAATCGCAGGTGAAATCGCAGTGGCTAAATGCAATCATTTCATAACATGGTTATGATTTAGAAGTAGCAAGCAATAATTTCCAACTATTTCCAAGTATGATAGGCGTGATAATTTCGCTTGAACTATAAAACGACCACTCATTGTCAAGGTCACGACATTATCATTATCACAACTACAAAGCTAGAGATATGCACAGAGAACAGTAATATTACTATTACAAAAAGAGAGATGTATGTATCTCTAATAATATACTACTCTGTGTATGTACCCACATTACAAAGCTAGCTGTCAGTCTCAGTCAGTGTCAGCCTAATCTGTGGTCTCAGCCAAGGTACCTATTTTGTTTTAATGTTTGTTATCAGTTTATCTCGATTGTCAACGTTATTTTTACATTTATATTTACGTTGGAATAATACAACATTAAACTAAATGCTCGCCAGGTTTGTAAATTCTTTGCCAACCGGCATATCGCAACAAATTACGAGGCTTTACTTTCAAGGTACCTAATTTATTTAGTTTTTAAATCTTTATGAATGACTTTAAAAATTAAAGAAATGACACTGGTTTCAATGAAGATGATAATGAAAAGAAAATGAAATATCGTCATTTATTAAAAATTGTTTTCCTAACATTTACGTCTTTAAACATGGCATCAAAAACTCAAAAAAAATGTAGCGATACACGAAAACTACGCAAGGGTAAGAATTTTCGATAACACGTTTTATTTAGCCGCAGTAAGCGAGAATCTCGCAAGGGTAAGATTGTTCGAAAACTCGTTTTACTTACCTTAAGTAAGCATAATATGGAACCAAATGTACTTTGTGCTGGGAACTGTTCAATTTACTATTTACCTAACCATCTTGCCTAATCTTTGTTTCCTCAATCTGACACACCATCCGTATATCTAATACTGTAATAACAATATTCACCTGATATCTTATATAAGCATTTTTTAGTTCTAGTTCGAAATCAGCGGGGGACTCACAGCCACTCAGACTTTTACAAATTCAAAAATATGGATATAAAAATATTGCCTGCTCTTCAAGATAATTACATGTACTTAATTGTGGATAAAGCAACACAGGAAGCTGCTATTGTTGACCCTGTAGAGCCCAAAAATGTGCTTGATGCTGTGACTCTATGTGGTGCGAAACTCACCACTGTGTTGACAACACATCATCATTGGTAAATATGTTTTACTAATAAATGATTGAGCTGGGTGGATTCTGCACAGGTACACTTGATCTAAATTGTTTAAGAATTAAGTAGACTTGCAGCCAAATTGAAGTCATTGGTGTGGTTTGGTACTCAACCACACGGTTGTATGCTTGTGCGGAAACTCCTTCCACCTAGCCTATAATTAAACATTAATCTATCCAAACAAACTTTTTATTTATTCAGTATAACACAATTTGGCAATCAATCCCTGTATCATTAGATTACACATATGCCTGTATCTAGTTCATTGTAGGAGTATAGTTGGCATTATAAAATAACATGAGTGATTATGCTTGTCCCTGAACAATATTACCGCCAGATTCAAGCAAAAATCTACCGAATTTTGCCTTTTGAACTTTTCTACATTTACCTCACCCTCACCTATTTAATAAATTGTTTTTATTTTTGTTTTATTAGGGATCATGCAGGAGGAAATGAAGAGCTTGTGAAACTACATCCAGGTCTCAAAGTGTATGGTGGCGATACTCGTATTGGAGCCCTAACTGACAAAGTAATGCACAACACTGAGCTCAACATTGGAAAGTTAAAAGTACAATGTCTTTTTACTCCATGCCACACGTCAGGTCACATATGCTACTATGTATCTACTGATGAAGAAAATAGCGACACTGCTGTATTTACAGGTAAATACAAGTTATATATTTGACTGCACGGAAGGCGTAGTGGTTTAAGCGGTCGCCACGCCGCTTCCTACTACGCCGAGTGTTGTGGGTTCAAACCCACTTTCACGACACTGTGTGATCCACAAATTATTGTTCTGAGTCTGGGTGTTCTTTGTGTCCGTTTCATGTATGTTTGTAAAGTCCCCCGCGACACAGGATTTATTCCTAATGTGGGAGTTGTCTTTAATAAAAAAAAATATATATATATATTAATATTTCATTTGTATCTTCTGCATTAAATGGCAGCATCTAGGGTTATACTCAATAAACTTTGACACTAATCAATATACCTACTAGTTACTACGAGGCTATCTTATTACAGGGAGGCTCTTTACATTAGTGGAGATGAAAATTTACTATAGTGTAGTGAAATAGTGGAGTTGAAACTGTGTGGTTTGTAAATAGTTTTAGCCCCACTAAGAGTTGAGAATATTTCATGCTAATGAATAAATTCGGCCTCATAAACTGTGTTAAGGCCGAATTTATTGCTGCCCATTATTTTTACGTAGGTCTTCCAAGAAACGGAAGATCAGGTTGGTTCTTATGGGCCGGACAAATGGACCGGGAATCAACAGGAGTGATATCACGGCCTCACAGAAAACCGGTGTTAAACAATTCATTTGTTTGCTTTTCACCGAGTGACTGAGGTCACCGGAGGTTAAACAAATCGAAGTTTATCTCTCCAGTTCTCTGTGGTCAACGCTGGAACTCAAGCTAGCGGGAATCCAGTAAAATTATTTTTAGCTGTATTCAAAGTTAGTGTGTGAAAGTAGCCATTATAGCCTGTATTGAAGCCATTCTGTTAAGTCAATTTTAGCATGGGCCATGAATTCGCTCAGAAATTAACCGCAGGATCATCTGCATAAAACTTGGCCATTTGGTATATCTATGTTCCACAAGTTATTGATAAATACTAGAAATAGTATAGGTCCCAGTAGGCCAATATAATATTATCTAACTATATATTTCCAACTTGGATAAGAAGGGACGGTATCAAGGTCTAAAAATATAGCCAATACTTTATTACTGTCCAATTACTTGAAATAGACGTCAACTCAAGCTCTGAATCTGAATGGTTTGTGTTACACTTACACTTAATATGTCTATGTGAGTTTCGTCAACAATTCTGGTTTTCAACAGGTGACACATTGTTCCTGGGTGGTTGTGGAAGATTTTTTGAAGGTTCTGCTCTACAAATGTACACTGCGCTGTGCACCATATTGAGTGCTCTTCCAGAGGACACGAAAGTATTTTGTGGCCATGAATACACATTGCAGAATCTGAGGTTTGCCCAACATGTTGAACCATCAAATGAGCAAATAGCAAAGAAAATGGAGTGGACCGTCAAAAGACGACAGAACAATCTTCCTTCAGTATGTAACCATTGTTTAAAAACATATTTTTTTACGCACGTGTTAATGATGAGTAAGCACGTAGTACATGTATATTATTATATTATGTTTGTGTGTTTTATCTATTATTTATAGTTTTCGCAGCCCACGTGAAATTAATTACTCTAATAAGCAAATTTTTGAAACCTTATGTTTACAGTACGTTCTAATTTTTGTAGGGATCTCTTTTTTAAATTTAGTTGTTTACTCATTATATTTCTATTTATTATCATCATCAGCTTTTAATAGTCCACTGCTGGACATAGGCCTCTTTAGAAAGAAGGATTAGGCCTACTATACCACACTGGTCAGACAGGTTAGTATAGTGTTTGTGTCAAGTTTTCCTTCTTTTCTAGTGCTGTTGTCCTGCGTAATATGCTCCTTTAGTCGGCATTTACGACACCCACGGGGTGAATAGAGGTGGTTACTTAACTATCTTACTTACTTAACCCAATAAAGGCAAAGCCTATTTTTAGAATAACTCACTTAGGTTTTACTTGTAAAAATATTCGTTTTGGCAATCATTGTTTGCTATCTTTATTCACAGGTCCCCTCAACCATTGGTGAAGAGAAATTGTACAATCCATTCATGAGGGTGGAAGTGCCGTCTATAATGAAACATGCTGGACAGAACACGGCAATAGAAACTATGCACTTTATCAGGCAAGAGAAGGACAACTTTAAGTAAAAGCCAAATGCAGTTATTACCAAAGGTGCTACAAAATTTGTGGTAGGATGTCGGCAAGGTTATCCTTGTTTTTGTTTTTTTTTTTTATTTTGTTGGGATTGGAATTAAAGAATTTGTTTGTAAAATGACGAACGATGTTTATATTTTAAGCCTTGAAAAATTATATCTACATTAGGCAATAGAAATTCTTTAAATAAAAACATTTGTAGAAATAGTATTGGTGCAACGGATGTTACATTTAGATGTACCTACATAATTATTCAACTCAACAAAAAAAAACTAAATTTTATTTTAAATGTGTGTGTAAAACTAGGTGGGTTCGTTACCCTATCTGCATATACGCGTGGAATCTTACGCTTCCCTGGGTAGTACTTAACGATCAGCCAAAGAGCGACCCACTTTCGTATGCCGAAAGTAAGCTGGGCGAAACCAGAAGATGTCAATCACCAAGGATGAACTTAAAACCCTAGAATCAGGTTTATATTACTAGTTATGAAGGAAAACCGTAAGTATATTAATAAGTAGTATCTTTTATTAAAATTTAATTTACTAAGGTAGGTTGGGTAATAAGGCCTAAACGATAAAAATCCAATTTAAAATTCTTGAATCACTCAAGATCACAAGCGTGGGTAGCTTACGCTCAAAGATGGTGTGCCTCAAACGTGTCGAGACATGATGGCTCGCGCTATGATGATGGCCTTACCTGTCACCCCCAGGCCTGCGCTTAAGGAGGACAGATGTCGTTCTTCCCGAACCTGGTGTGCTTGGATAGTTCTAAACCTCTCCCGGTCCAGTTCCGGCATCTCCTTCGCAAGCATAACTAGCTCACGGCGGAGTTTAACCATTCTCGCTCCGTACCATGGCGGCCATCATGTTTCCCTTGGCATCTTTAAAGAGCAACACCTCTAGTATGTGGAAGTTCCTTAACACGTTGGGCATTGGTAGACAACAACGGACCGAGTGTCATTGGTTTGAATGATATCAATCTTCATCTCTCTTCTGCTACTCAACCGGATCATTAAACAGAATTGGACTCTAAATTATATCGCTAGTCTGCAAGACCCAATATTTTCAACTTTGGATTTTCTCATGTGCCTTCTAGGAACATCAAAAAGATCATCCTGTCTGTCTGTTGTAACGCAATGGTTTGCAAGCCGTAGGATGATAGTTACCATCCTGAATTACGTCCTCGAAGTTATACTTAACCGATACCGAGCAAGATTATTTATAGATATATTTTCGCCGATCGAGTTTGAAGTCCCTCGATAGAAAAAGTTCAAAAGGGAAAATCGGGGCAGGTGCCGAGGACTCATTTAAAACGTGACTAGTAAACATTGAAAAAAGACTGTTAAAACATCAGTTTGCGGCATTATAAAGTTGGTCTTGGACTAGCTACCCTGCCAATTTCAAATGTATCTGTCACTTAATAAAAAAATGGCGTAATAAACAATTAAAAAAATTATCTCTGCCTAAAAAAATAAAATTATATAAACATACTAGCGGACCCGACAGACGTTATCCTGTCAAATTTGACACTGCGATGGTAGCGCCGTCTGTCTGATCCAATGTAAAACATTCCAAAATCAACAACTACTAATAAATTAAAAATTAACTAAAAAAACATTGTCCAGCGGACAAAATTGTGAATCTAAACCATTCCCAGATCCCCTTGAACACACACAAAAAATTTCATCAAAATCGGTCCAGTCGTTTGAGAGAAGTTCAGTGACATACACACTCACAGAAGAATTATATATATAAAGATTATTCTATTTTTGATATATATTTGAGATTTATCTATTTTTTTTCAATGTCGATATGATAATTAGTTTGAAAGATATTAGCAAAAAACACTGCCCGAAAAAGTCGTACTTAGTAAAACAACATTTTGTTATTGAAAAAATACAAAATAGGCGACTATGATGCCTTAGAAGCTATATGAGGCTTGGAACTATTGAAAAGGCATGCCAAATTTCTAAAAACCTATCAGGTAACTCCAATACCTGTATTATTATAATCTTAGGTGCAGGATGCATCTCAACCAATAAGGTTCTATTCATGATAGATAAATTCTATTCATCAGTCTTTAACAGCCTACTTGGTTTTTTATTTTATTATAATAATAACAAGGTTTCTATTGATCATTATAAACCCTGTTATTATTATAATAAACTAGCTGACCCGAGAAACGATGTATTGCAAAACAAAAAAAAAATTAGGGATGGGTCACCCTTACCATTTAGGGGTATGAAAAATAGATGTTGGCCGATTCTCAGACCTACCTGATGCGCACTCAAAATTTCATGAGAATCGGTCAAGCGGTTTCAGAGGAGTACGGGAACGAACATTGTGACACAAGAATTTTATATATAAGATTAAAAGCTGAGCTACAGTCGTAGAGAAAAATATACACAACACAATTAATTCCAAACACACTGTCATAAGATACACATTGTTCATGGTCTGTGTACTTTGCAGGTTGACCATGAGCAATAAAGGCTAATACAAGGTCAACCGAAAGCTCTCCCATTAGTTTATAACCCTAAAGATATTTTTACAACAGCCAATGCTTACACATATAAATTAAAACTAGATACACTTATAAAATAATGTTTAATAGTTAACCTAATCTTAAAGCTGTTGATCACAAGAAAATTAAGAACTACTTGTGGTAGTTGGTGACTGTCATTGTTCCTTCTTGATGTAGGCGGACATTTGTTCTGCATACTTTTCCTTTGATCTCTCAAACATTGCAACATATACCTGCAACAAATGTAAATATTACGTTAATAACTTTTATGTGTGGCTCCGTTCACATTGGTTTATTATTTTCATTAAAACTTGTTTGCCTCCTACATCATAAAATATAAGGGACAAACGAGCAGACTGGTGAGGCCTTTTTTACATAAAGCTTATTTGGTCTATCTTACAAGAGCAAATAGTCCGTGTAGTGACGGATTAAGAATGCGGACGTTCGCCGCCCCTATTCATCCCGTTTGTGTCGTAAGAGCCGACTAAGGGAGCAAACTAAGACAGCAACACTGCAAAGAAAAGGAAAACTTTAAACAAACTCTATCCACACCTGTCTGGCCAGCATGGTATAATAGGCCAAAACCTCCTTTCTGAGAAGAGGCCTATGTCCAGCAGTAGATTATTAAAGGCTGTTGATCTGATGTGATGTGTGACAAGAACAATACTTTTTTCTGAAAGTAAGGTATACCATACCTAAACTGCTGTCTGTATCACTGGCAACATCTTTGCAGTTTGAAAAAAAAACATTGCTAAAACAAGGATATTTAATTCTATCCACAACTACTGCAATGAACACAACATGTTTGTAGCTGCAGTTGTTGATAGAAAATAGATCTGTGTGTTACATTAGCACTCAAAAAGTATTTTATTTGTTCTATTTGAAATTGAATTTAATAAACTAATTTATAACACTTGATTTAAGTCTTGCTTGCCACAAAATCTTACCCTTTTTTCATCATAGCTAAGTGACCTCCATCTCGATGCTAATTGTCTGGTAACTTCCTTTTTAGATGGTTCTGTACCCATTTCCGAATTTGCTTCAGCTACAACCAGTGGCCGCTGTTCTTGACAGAATTGGAAGAAGGCATTGCAAGGTTTCTTAGGAGCATTTGGATCTCTCTCAGGCTAAAATTAGTAAATCGTAATAGAAGTTTTAATACCGAAATATTTAATTGTTCTTGAATGTCATAATAACGAATATACCTCATACCTTATCTGCTTTACTTTTTCTCTTAGGCCCTGGTTTCTTAGGATTAGCAGAACTTGGTTTTTCTGTCTGTTTAGCAACAGCAGGCGTTTTGGCCCCAGCCCGAGGAGGTCGAACCGTTACCTCGGGCTTAGTATCTATCTCCAAAGATGCTGTACGAAACTGATCACCATGACTATCTAAACGTTCCACTAGCAAATTGATATCTTTTCGATAGCGCTTTGTTATTTTCTTAGCTTCATGTATTCTGTAAAGATATTGAATGGCACCTTTACACACGATAAACGCTTTACAACTAAAATAAAGCTCAAAACACAAACCTGTTTATAATTCTTTCGTTATCCTGCTGCAAGACTTCACATCGTTCCAATAACAACTGATATTTTCGCCTATAAATCTCTTCATCGGATGGTAAACTAACCATATCATCAGAGTCGTCAGAAATATTTGAGTTAATCTGTTGGACTGTCATTTTAATTTATTTCGTAGCTAAAAGTTCACGCGATCAAATTTCTTTTTATTTAGCTGTCTTCTGTCTGTCATTCGGTTCGCTATCTCTAGGTTGGCCACACTGAAAAAATACCTGTTCCACGAAGTGTAAACATAAAGTCGGAAGTAAACGTTTTAAATACTATTCAGTGTGTTTGTTGTGTTCAACAAATTACATGATAATAAATTCATTTTCTGTCGAAAAAAATCCTAATCAATTTTTTTAATGTCATGTGAAAGGCTTATGTCACTAAGAATAACATCCAGCTTAAAACAAACATACTGACTAAGACCGAAAAACAGTTCTTCTTTTAACTTTAACGTGTGGCAGGTAGCAGTATTATGTTTCTTTCATGGCAATCTCTATGATAAATTTTAATTACACCAATGGGTACTGAACATATGTATACGTATTATGTATAGGTACAAAATGGTTATATTAAGTAGGTTTTACGTTACAAAATACCTCTAACTCCCGTGGGACGCGCTAGAGCAGAGGCTAGAAGTATGTGGTATTTCCATCAAAAACCACTCCGACGTCCACTCAAGTTCTGAAGTGCCGTACTCTGGCCCTCCCTAAAGTACGGCCCTCACCCGGACCACGTGATTTCGAGGTCCACAACGAATCGACGTCTAACCAGGTCTTATGCCGAGGGAAACCATAAGCCTTACCCGGCTAATCGGGAGAGCAACCTTATTGCATCCCGCAGCCCAACTTTTATCAACAATATTAATATTCATTATCTATGGTAGCCTTTCCTCTTACGTGATATATGTAGGTATATATGTAGGTATGCTTCCCTTCGCGGCACTGTGCGACTAACGTGTGACTTCATATGCTAACAATTTAAATATTGTTTTCTGTGTTTTTCTGCGACTAGTTCCCGGTTTGCGGGCGGCTTAAGGTTGTGTATAGTGTTTTAAAGAATATCAGTAAGTTTTTATTGTTTTTTAAACAGAAATATAGTGCTGAATTATTTTATTACGACTATTGGTGAGTAAATTTATTTTCTTTCTAAAAGTGGGTAGGAGGTATCCTTTGTTTATATTGATTTTTCTCTGCGTATTGTTTATTTTTAAACTTGTTCCTTTTGAAATTGTTGTTTGGTGTGTCTTTGTTTGGCTATGTCGGTCGTTAGCGAGTTGCCGGACCCCGGCGGTACAAGTGAATTTCTAACACCAACCGGGAAAAGGACATTTAACAAAATGTCACCTACGGATTTCTCGCCGAAAGACAATAGAAGTAATCGAATTAATAATTCGGATTTAAGTGGAAATGTTTCGTCTCTTAACGGTCGTGATAACTGTGGGGAATACAATTACTGCGAGTTAGTCTCACAGGCTACCGAGTACTTGGCAAAAATCAATGAATTAGTTAATGATCAGGGATCTCGGATGAATGTAGGTAATAAAACGGCAATTATGGATATTACTCAACGAATTACCGGTATCGTATCTTTGTTAGCAATAAAATCCTCTAGCAACGAAACGAAGTTAGCGAATTTTGAGCGACAAATGGAGGGTATCGCAACTCAACAAACGAGTTTAACGTACGCGGACAAACTTAAGCTTCGATTACCACCTAAATCTGCTCCGTGCCCGGTACCTACTGAAGCGCGCGTTCCTAGGCCTTGTGTTATTGCCTATCCCACTACGGAACGCTTAGCGGACTATGCGACCTCGTCAGCAACGAAACAAGCTCTCATGAAGGCTATTAAACCGAGCGATGAGGGATTTCAAATTGTAGGCGTTAAAAAAACCTCTAAGGCAGGCGTCGTGTTACGTGTAGCTAACGAACGGCAGCTTAAGAAACTGGAATCTGTGGACGCCATTAAATCAGTAGGGTTGCGCTTAGAAAAACCGAAAGGCCGTAGGCCCCGTATAATTGTAAAAGACGTACCCGGTTCTATGGAAGATCGTGCCTTTCTAACAGCTTTATACCGTCAGAATATCAAGGACGAATTAAAATTAAGTGAGAATGATTTTATTAAGTCAACCAAAATTGTTAGGCATCGTAAACTAGAAAATGGGCGTCAATGGATAGGCTTAGAATTAGAGGCAGCAGTTCGGAAACATCTAGCCAACACAAAAGATAAACTTTATATAGACTGGGCCACATGTAGATTCATAGACGATATAGAAGTAGTTCGTTGCTTAAATTGTCAGCAATTCGGTCATGTACAAAAGTTTTGCACTATTAAAACCCCTACTTGTGCTAATTGCGCCGCCGCACACGAAACGCGAGCTTGTCCAGATAAAGACACACCAGATTTTAAGCCCACGTGTACACAGTGTAAGCGGTTCAAAAAACCATCTGACCATCGATGCGGCTCATACGACTGTGCCACATACAAATTAAAACTGGAACAGCTGATATTAAATACCAATTACTGAATAGTTTAACTTAGTTAAAAAAAAACAAAAAAAAAAAAAAAAAAAAAAAAAAAAGTTTAAAGAGTAACTTACTAACTAATGAATAATATTTCGATAGGCCAGTTAAATCTTCATAACGATAAAATAGCTACATCAGAATTAGACCGTTTAATTTTAGAACAAAAGTTAGACATTGTCCTTTTACAAGAACAATATCAGAGCGCTCACTTGCGTCGTAATGTAGTACAGCTTGACTGCCGTTCGCAGGCTGGGATATATGTTGCAAGTTCTAATTTTACGGTAACATCTTTGCGTAATCTTATGACGTCACACTGCGCCGTTGCTGAGATCTCATCCTCTACCTGTAAGGTTTACGTAGTGAGCTGCTATTTTCAATATTCACATCCTATTGATCCTCACTTACATCACTTACGTTACGTCTTGCAGTTCCTCGTGGGACATAAAATTATCATTGGCGCTGATGTCAATGCGTCATCTTCATTATGGTATGGCAAGTTGCGTTCAACCGACACGGTTCGACGTTGTGCGGTTGAAGATTTCATTGCGGAAATGAATCTTATTATTCACAATACCCCCGATGCACCACCAACTTTTTGCAACCCAATGGGTGAGTCTTCTATTGACGTGACGCTTACGCGCGGCGACGTCTCGATATCCGGATGGCGTGTCCTTCCGGACGCATCCTGTAGTGATCACCGCTTGATCGTGTACGAATTCACACCAAGGGTTGCACAGGATCCACAAAGGGCTCCCTATAATTTTAGATATAAAACTAAAGGTGCGAACTGGGCTTTGTTTGGGTCACTCTTTGCAACTCATACCAAAGACTTCAGTCGCAGTAGTTTATCAGCTGAGGAAAGCGCAGAAATACTATCAGAAACTTTTACATACTGCGCTGATGTAACTATTGGTCGCGGATCTATCACTAACACTCGTAGATGTGATTGGTGGAATGATAGATTAGCCGAACTACGTAGAAGCTACCGGAAAGCTCGTAGAAAATTAAACACTATTAAAAAACATAACGTAACAGGAGATTTGTACAACATTGCTCTCATTGCTCTTAGAGTTGCCAGGTCCCACTACAGAGCTGCTGTGGAAAAATCCAAGGGAAACTTAATTCAGAAACTTGTGAATAAACTCGATAGAGAGGGCCCGTGGTCACCTTTGTATCACGAATTTAAGGCAAATAGATCAATCGACCACGCATACATACAGAACATCAAAATTAATAACAGATATACCACAGGAGTAGAACAAACAGCAGAATATCTTTTAGACTCACTCGTACCTGACGATCGACCGGAAAACGACACTGATCATCACCGACAGATCAGGCAGTGGGCCATCGAACCACCACTGTCTCCAATGTCTGATTTACCATCTTCAGACGAATTTCTCGGTATCATTAGATCCTTGCCGCTAAACAAGGCTTCGGGTGATGATAAAATATCTAACAAAATGATAAAAGAAGCTTGTAAACTTTCGGGTGACACGATTTTCACTGTCTTTAAACGTTGCATTGCTGAAGGAATATTTCCTCGTATATGGCGGTGCGGTAATATTCGTATAATACCAAAAAGTGGCGACAAGCCACCGGATGATCCTAAATCCTACCGACCAATCACATTGTTACCATCGTTAGGAAAGCTTTTAGAACGTCTTGTAGTGCCCCGGCTTCTGCCAGGTGGAGTCAAATTTCATGATAGACAATTTGGATTTACGTTGGGTAAATCGACAACTGACGCTGTTATATCGGTTAGAAAGTTTGTCACAGAGTCAAAATTTCAATACGTGCTGGCTATTTTTCTTAGATATATCTGGCGCCTTCGACAACGCATGGTGGCCCATGCTGTTGCTGAAATTAAAATCACGGGGGTGTTTTAAAAATATTTATTCCCTTATCTCTTCGTACTTTTCACAAGGTACAACTAAACTAAGACTTGGTCATCATTCTGTGTCGAAGGCGCTTACAATGGGATGTCCTCAGGGATCGGTGCTAGGTCCATACTTGTGGAATATCGGCTTCGACGATTTTCTTACGATACCAATACCATCCGGATGTACTCTGAACGCGTATGCTGATGACGGCTTATTACTGGTGGAATCTGATACTAGGGCGGGGCTTGAGAGATTAGCCAATAGATGTTTGAACTTGATATCTCAATGGGGTGAACGTAATCGCTTAACTTTTGCACCCAACAAAACCTTCCAATTACTTTTAAAAGGTAACCTCAAATCACCGCCGAGCATTAGATTTGACAATGTTACTGTAAAAAATAAAACCACAGTGTGTTATCTAGGATTAGTTTTAGAAAGAAACTTTTCATTTATCGAACATATTAAAATAGTTAATGAAAAGTCTAAAAAGAGTTTCTGTGCATTGACAAGGATATCAACTGCGACATGGGGTCTATCATTTAATACATTAAAGATCATATACGGAGCTACTTATTTAGGTTCTATGTGCTATGGTGCACCTGTATGGGCCGATAGGGCAACCGTAGGCGCTGTCCGTCGCAAACTGTTACAAGGCCAACGACTTGCACTGATATTTTTGTGCAAGGCATATAGGACGGTTAGCACTGAGGCTTTGCCGGTGTTGGCGGGTGTCCTTCCGGTCGATCTCGAGGTGCAGAGACGTGCAGCCATGTACTATTCAAGACAAAACATGGAATGCGATTTCTTGGGCGCGCGCGATCGCGGTAAAATTACAAGATTGCTTCAACAGCAGTCCGATGTCTATAATGACCTCATAGACGAATGGCAGCAACGCTGGGACGAATCATCCAAGGGGCGCCATCTTTACCAATTTTTTCCATCTGTTCGCGAACGGTTGTCGAGGACATGGCTTGAGGTGGATCACTGTGTCGCTCAATTTCTTACGGGTCATGGTAACTTTAAGAGCAAGTTGTATTCATTTAAATTAGTCGAGTCACCATTGTGTCAATGCTCAACACCTAACTCTCATTATGAACAGTCTGCTCATCATATCCTCTGGGAATGTAGTCTTTGGTATAATGAACGTAATATAATGCTGAATAGCTTGCAGGTGACATCTGGGGCGGTATACTATGGGGATCTTGTGTCAACTAGGGTGAATTTCCGTGCGTTTAGGCGATTCTGCCATACATATTATAGAAATCAAATATAGCTCATGTAGGACCCGTAATATTTTGTGGCCGTGGTGCTTCCCTGTTTAAAAGGGTGTATGCCTATTTTACTTCATTTTGTCTCCCGCTTTGCTGAGGAGGGAAGTGGATTTACTGTATTTCCAACTCCTCCAATTTTCTTCTGATTAATTTCGTTGCGGGTTCCAAGACAGTTTAATTTCTTCCTGGGACTTCCCGAGTGTCATAACTCGGTGTGTTCGTGGGTCACTGCTGTGGATCCTGGTGTACAGGAGTTACAGTGGTGGGCGTGTGGGTGGGATTAGTCCCATATAAAAAATATATGTAGGTAGTCTACAAAAATCATGACTTTATCAAAAACTATTTGCAACGTCTTCCTTGTTCATGGTTACTGGGTCGTAGCTTGATATTACGAGTTATGAGTTGGATTCTCAAATGCAAATTTTAATATAGTAGTTTCTACCCAAAACAGTAACTTTAAAGTGTCAAATTAAATAATTGGATGAAAAAAATGAAATGTATTTTTTCCTAGACTACTTACTTGTACCTATGTACTTAGGTAGCTGCCAAAATTTTAAGTTTATAGCTCCAGCGGCTCTGTGGGCTGTGTGAAAGTAATTTATATGTTTAGATTGAGACATCCCTCGAAAACAATACCTACTTCAGATCTTTATTCTTAATGTTAGAATATCCTATAGTAGTCCTCATAGCAAGTTACCGGCACGAATAGCATGCCATTAAATTAAAATTTTATAACATTGACACATTTTGTTGAATATCTGAGATCATACATAATACATTTACATGATTTAGAATCACTGAAACGATGATTCCTTCCTTCGGAGACTATCTTGTAGAATACTAAGGCGAATCTAGCTTGAGAATTCTTTAAGCTAACGTGGCATGTAAGAAATTAAATGTCCATACTTACGACACGTAACCGTGAACATGTCCGTCCGATTCTCGTGTCGATTCTACAGCGATTGCGCGCACTACCTCCATGAAAAATGACATCGATCGTTCATAAACACAGCGTGTTTGAGTGTCTACACTGCAGTGTTAGCATATCAAGTGATCATGCGACATATAGTTTCTATTAGAAAAATTGAAAGTATGTTTTAAGAGTTTTAGTGAATAATGTGTTTCGTTAAAAGGTGATAAGAAAAACAACACAAATGAATTCCAAAAGTAGCAATGAGATGGATACCAGTTTTATCAAAGCGAACTTTGTTTGTTTATTTCATTTTAATATTTTTATTATATTTATTTTATGCTTTAAATTCTTGTTTAGTTGACGAAAAAAAGGTTAGTAAATTTATCATGTCACGGCATAATCTAAATTAATAGATGTAACTACGTAACAATGTAACTACTATATCTTTTGGACATTAACAGTTTTATGATTTAGTGTCGATTAGAACTCTGCAACATTACAGCATTTCGAAACATGCACTTTTAGTCCCAGGTGCTTCGTCTCTGATGTTTTAATATAAATTAACTTACTAGATGTACTAGTATGTATATATGTAAGTCACATTCTACGATCACTTTTGAAAGAAATAACGTTTTTCCCAATTTTAATTGCCCAACTAAACTTATTATGTAAAGCTTTACATGCTACATTTCCTATTTCAAATAATGCCAGTCAGTCAGCCAAGAAAACTGTACCAATTCTGTGGCAAAGAAGTAAACTTCATTGACTATGGACGCTTGCAACATTAAGGACGGAAAACAAATTGAAATGCTAGGACTGCTATTTATCCGCTTCTAAAACAAAATACTAATATTAAGAGCAATTATGTAAATAGTATCAACTTAAAAAGATCTGTGTCGATGTTGACGGTGCTTAAGTAATGCGCGAAACGCTCACTGACTATCAAATGTTTTTTCAACGTATATATTTAACCAGGCATTTATTTTACAGTTTACGTTAAAATACATATTCCTGAAACATCATATATCAAAGTACAGGTCGGCGGGAGTGCGTTTTGCCTCGTTGCTTGGTTTTAGTTTCGATGACAACTACCATTATACGAGACTGAAGAAGAATCAAGTGCCCGTGAAGAGATTACCAGACGTGCTTGTTATTGGCGTCAAGAAATGTGGGACAAGAGCACTACTGGAGTTTTTAAGGTAGGCATTTATTTTGCTTTATTAATTATACATGCTCGTTGGAATCCTGTTGACCTCCTTAAAGGATAACAAAAGTTCATGAAGTACGAGTCGGAATCTTGTGCAAACAGAGAATTAAAAAATTAGAGAGACTTATTTCTAAGCTTTCCATTGGTTCACCATGCGTGTTAATCGCGTGATAAATGGGCAATTCACATGCGACTTCGACAGCGCCTGTGAATTGCGACCCACGTTTATGTTTAGGAATAGGTATAGCATTGACAAAGTTAAATGTAATATGTGGTAGAGGTAAAATAACATAATACATGTTTTGCTCTTGGAGTGGGTTTTTTAAAGGTTACACACTTATCATAACATTAACAGGCAAAGGTCATCTTAGCTTTTGTAGGTATAAATTGTAGTTGTAAGTAAGAAAATTAAAATTATTTGTGGGTGTTTTGTAGGTTTTCCAAAATGCTTATGATAAGAACGTGCAAATTCAAAATGCAAAAAATCATTTTTACGCAAATATCATAATGTGAAAGGGTCTGAACGATTAATACCTAGACAGCATTAATATAATAAACAAATATTTTCTATGTGTAACAATGAGACTTATAAGGGTCGCTGTTGCTCCAGCGATTCGGCGATGAAATCCAATAATTAATAATTTTTAAAATATTATACCTTTAATGCATCTTTCTTTTCTGTGCGGAACTCCGCTGGGATACCACCCACCAGTCGGTAATTATATCGGACTTGAACCGACCAAAAACCGCACGCCGTCTCCAGGTACCAGGGAACCAGGTATGCCCTAGAAAGGAAAGCCCTGGTACCCCAATGTACCTCGGGCCATCTACGGCTTATAAATGACCCGTATTCCGTATGACTCCTGTGTGGGAACCCCGACGTTCCCTTCCTGCCTCCGAAAGGCGTGCGCGAAGACAGCGGAGTTCCGGACGTTACGTATATGTAACGCCATGCGGCAATCATGTTACCGAGGGAGAGAATTCCCACTCCGACGGCCGCCACGACGCCACGCCTTTGCTCCACTCACGACGAGCATTCTGCCAGAGTGTGGAGCGCCTTGTCCACGGTCCGGCCATCGCAGTGGTTGCACTCAGGCGTTAGCTCCTTGCAGTTCAGATACAGGTGACTTGCGAAGCATCCTTTCTCTGTGATCACATGCGTCAGCCGGTATAAGAGCCAATCCTCCATAACGGGTCTTACCGCCCCGATAACGGCGTGTCCGGACTTCAATGCACCTAAATCATAATACATTGTAATAAACTTCACCCCAAAATTTATCCTCTCTTAGATGCGGAATATTATCTTGAAATTTAAGTGAGAGCAACTTGCAGTAAAACCAATTCTTATTTTCTGTTAATCGGGAGTATTGAATTATCAAAATCTATTAGCGTGTCGTTGTACATTTATCGACAATGTCTTACGAGTTAGGTAGTAGTAACATAAAACTACGCACCAATTTACAATCGAATGTATTGTAAATATGTTATATCCCGTTCCATTTTACTCCCAAAAATGTTATCAAGGTTATCAACGTTTTCAGTAGGTACAAACGGGATATTTGTTTTTATCGTTTTAATTAAATAAATACACTCGAGGGGCTCGTGACTAAGTGCTATTTGCCATAGTGCTAGTGCCATTTGCAAAGTTAAGCAATCCTAGCCAGGTCAGCTAAGAGCCGTTGGTCCCGGCTGCCATACGAACATCTGTGGTAATCTTTACGGGTATTTGGAGCCCTAGAAAGTCCGACCACAGTCTATCCACAGAACTTCGATAATGCCTAGTACTTGGGTTGTGGAGGTCTGGTGACTGTCGCTCCACGGAAAAACTCGAAGTTCAGCCGTATTGTAGTAGACCAACCTAATTTAGGCAAGAGGCTCGAAGACGGATTAAATAAATACACTCAATGATAAATAGTTATCAGAAACAATATATGTAGCTACTATACTACTAGGCACTCCTATTTTGTTGTCTACAATTTGGTAAATTTGGTAACTTACGTAATTAGGGATAGCCTTATTGTTGAATTATCTTTCCAATTACTTATTTATCAAACAGAAACAATACAGTATAGTTCTAAACTAAAGGAGTCTACAGGGTCAACAAGTCTCAGATACTCACTATACACTACTACATCTTCAAGCAACAAGTCAGTGAAGTCTTTCAGTATTCCGAGTTTTCAGTTTTCCAAAGTAAGGTATCTATTTTCAATATACATTTTTAGCTCGAATCGAAAATTGTTGTTAATTATTTTTTGTTAATGTGTTTTTAACTATAGAGTGCCTACAACAATATTATCATAGTTACCAAAACAGGAAAAACAATCTACGTAAAACTTAATTCCAGTCAATGTGTTAACAAAATATAAGATGCATCGAATCCCATTTAAAAAAACCTAATAATAAACATTATTTTTTTATCGTATTTTAGGTTACATCCAGATGTCAGGGCTGCGGGGTCAGAGGTCCATTTTTTCGACAAATTTTATCATAAAGGCTTTGAATGGTACAGGTACGGATGCACCTTAATATTTCTCTATAAATAACTGCTATTAATATAAGCTGTATATCTAGATTACCTTAATTGATTGATTAGCTTTTTTTGTTTGTAAAGATGCATGCAACACTATTTATAAAACTTGCTCAGCTGTGTTTTCTGTAATTCTCATATATTTTGTTCTAGGGACAAGATGCCGCCTACATTAGAAGGTCAGATAACCATGGAAAAAACCCCATCTTACTGGGTGACGAGGTCAGCACCAAAAAGAGTATACGCTATGAATCCTGATGTCAAGCTTTTAGCAGTGTTACGGGATCCGGTTACTAGAGCCATCAGTGATTATACTCAATCAGCGAGGTAAATACTTATTCACTTGACGAATCTGGAAAGATCTTTTTCAGATCCGACAGATCTTGTTGTTTCGAGGACCAAGTAGTTCCTGTATTAAAATGCATTTTTTCAAACGAAATAGTTTCACCATCCGTGTGGTGACGGATTAAGAATACGAAGTGTCACCACCCCTATTTATCCCGTGGGTACGCAGGAAAACAGCACTGCAAAGAGAAAGAAAACTTGAAACCAACCCTATACTCATGTCGTGTGGGCCCGATAGAATCTCTCTTATCGTGTTGAAGACGTGTGCTCCGAAGTTGGCACCGGTTTTAACGCGCCTTTTTCGACTCTCCTACTTCCAAGGCATCGTCCCGAACTCCTGATAGGTAGCGTTTGTGCACCCGATCCCTAAAAAAAGCGACCGCTCTGACCCGTCCAACTACAACCCTGTAGCCACAAATTCTTTGTTCTCTAAGATTATGGAATCCGTAATCAACTGCCAGCTCCTCCGGTACTTAGATGATGATCGCTCAGCTAGTTATCTATTCGTCTTTCTAACACACTGGTGGGCACTGGCGATCGAGACCAAGGGAGAGGCTTGTGCAAGGTCTGTCGCAAGGCGCTACTATAGAAGCTTTGGATAGTTGGCGCTCGGCTACTGTGCACTTTTCAAGACACTATTTGCGTCGCACAACCAATCTGTAGAACGGGTTATCGTCTGCGGTATTTCCGGACCGATACTACCTTCAAACCTTCAAGAAAAGAGCGTACTCTTTCCAAAAAGGCCGGCAACGCGTTTGTGACTCCTGAGTTGCAGACGTTCATAGGCGGCGGTGGTCACTTTCCATCAGACGGGTGTCTGCTCGTCTGGCCCCTCTAACATAAAAAAGAAAAAACCTATTCTTCTAATATTACACTTGCAAAAGTAAGTTTATTTGTCTTTAACACTTTCAGGCCTTGACTCCTTAAACGTTCATCATGAAATACGTAAATAAAAAAAGAAAAATATACCCGTTTTCTCCACGGGGAGAACGAATATCCAAAGCGGCATTGCTAAAACCTACACTTGCACGAGCGAAGCGACTGAAGAATAATATTCAAATTTTAATTGCTAATTGTATGCAAGATTCACCAGTAGTAGGATTTTTTATAAATACATTTTTTTTCAGTAAAAGACCTTCGCTCCCTCGCTTCGAAGACCTTGCTTTAATTAACAACTCAGCAGGATGGGGCAGTTCATCAATGGTTGATGCTACATGGCCCCCAGTCAGATTAGGCGTATATGCCAGACCTTTGAAGAGATGGCTACGGAGATTTCCGAGGTCGAGGCTACTGCTGATTAACGGAGAGAGGCTTATTGTGGATCCTGCGGCGGAAATGGCTAGAGTACAGGTATTACAAGAATTGTCAACTGTATTTTTCTATACAAGGCAAGGCAACTATTGGTAGTGCCATCCGGCTTTGTCCTGGGTTATCCAGGGCTTTGTTGTATTTAATAGTCTACGTGATTCCACCTGTAGGAGTGAAAGATGGGAACGTCGCTAAAGTTATGTTTTTATTTTCAGGAATTCTTAGGCCTCAAGCTAGTGATAACTGAAAAGCACTTTTACTTCAATTCCACGAAGGGCTTCCCGTGCTTACTAAAGTCAGAAAGTCGTTCCACGCCTCATTGTCTGGGAAAGACAAAAGGCCGAAGCCATCCTTACATAGATCCTAAAACTATAGAAAGACTAAGAGACTACTATAAACCGTTTAACAAACAGTTCTATCAGCTCGCTGGTATCAATTTTGGATGGCCTTAAGTTTTACGTACATTCCTACTTAAATTCACGCTATTATTTCAGGGCCTCTCTTAGATGGAATAATTTTGTATTAATTTCGGTCAAAAGGTAGCCTAGTGCAATCTTAAGTTCTCAATCTGTTAAATGAAGGACAACGAACTATTATCATGAGCGTACCTAAATACCTATCAATTAAGTAAAAAATTAAAAGGTATACGGATCTCAAACGCCTATTAAATAACATTAACCACATATCACGCTGCAGTAGGTAGTATGTATAAAAGTTAATTAGTTACCAATTACTAAACTACTAGATGAACTAAATGGAACAAGACTTACAATCGACACGACAATTTTTGAAAAAACCTAAAACAATCGTTAGTATTGTTATAACAATACTAACACCTTCTGAGGGCTATAATTATAAAATACCTTTAGAGATGTACCTACGTACTTTATTTAGAATGTATTATTATATTCCTTGACTAATGACTAATAGTTACGGAGCGTAACTATTAATACTAGTACCATTATACCAAATATTATTTTTAATGTAGGTATAGCAATTTATTCCTCCTTAACTACTTGTATTTTCTATTATACATTAAACATGTAAATGATATATTAAGTTACAACTATTTTTTTTTTCATTAGGTAGGAATTTCGAATAAATGTTTCATTAGAGAAATCTAAAGAAAACTGTTTTCACTGATCGTTTAAGTTTCAAAATATCGTAGCCTTTAAGTAAATAACTTGATTTTTACGTCGCGGCGTCGTCCGTACGTTATTTATATAAAATTTTAGAGATAATATGAATGCTAAATATTCGTTCTTACTTCTTTTTTTTAATATTCCTAAGATTATTCTTTAGCGTAGATAAGTAAATGCCATCTGAGTGAGGTACTAGTTTAATTAAATTAACCTAGGTACAAAGTGGTTTGATGCATCCTAAACTTTTTTATAAAGAATATGTAGGTATAAGTAGTTACCTAGTGTGCCAAGAAACATGAACCAAAATTTTAAAAATTAAACTTAAACTAAGTAATACTAAATTATGACTAAATCACTTTTTTAGGTTTTCGATGTCCAAACAAGTGTAAAATGTCAAGTGTTACCTATGATTAATTATTACACTATCTGGTTTTAGTAAGAATATTATGGTTGTGTCAAAACCCTAGGTCATAAAGGGGTCGAATCTAAAGTCGAAACCTTTTTGAGGTTTTTTATGGAGTATAATGCATTTTAATGCTGTGACCTATAGATGCCTACTAATAATGTGCATATATTAATGTAAGTACCTACATAAAGTTATCTGATCTGTCTTTAAGTTGTCTGTTAATTATTAAGTCTTTTAAGGAAGTTATAATATTAACACTAATTTTGTGTAAGTTCCTATGTGATTTTATTAAACATTTAGACTTTATATACTTATTATCTATCATAAATTTTTCATCATTCATTATAATGGAAAAAATATTTTTAAGTTATCTTTACTAGCATAATTGCTTCCTATCTCTTACGACATTCCTTACTTAAGTGTTCTATAATAACTATATCAGTATCACTTCATAATTTATACGATTATGAAGTGATATCACGTACAGAATATAAGAGTATAGTTGTTGTACTTTGGTTGTACCTTTATACGAAGGCTGCTATTTATGTATTCGTATATTATATTATAGTTTTATTATTTTTCAAAATATTCGCCGTGATGATCGATACACTTTTGCATACGCTGGAACCAATTTTCGTAGCACTTTTTCCAAGCCAAGTCAGGGCTTTACGGCGGATGACCCATGAATTCGATCTTTTGATCTTCCAAATACTGATTTGTTTCGGCCGATACGGCAGCTAACATTGTCATGATGAAGAAGGATTCTGCGTTGTCGGTTATTCTTTCTTATTTATTCAAAGACTTCTGGCAAACAACAAATGGTCGTGTACCATTCAGAATTAACCGGTTTACGATCCTGTAGTGGCACTGTAGCTACATGTCCATTTATACATAAAAACCAAGCGACCGCATTTGCTTCAAAGTGCTTTTTGAACAACTGACTTTTGTTGGGTTCGGCTCATTTTGAAACTCCCAAACCGTTGATTGTTGTTTAGGATCATACGCATATATCAAAGATTCATCACCTGTGTAGATATTATAGACAGCTTTTTACGCACCCTGATCGTACTTCTGTAACATTTTTTACACCAATCGACACGAGCCCCTTTTTTGTCAATTCTCAAATTTTCAAATCCAACGTGAACCAATTCTTTTTACAGCTAAATGTTCGTGTAACATTTTATAAATACTCGTCATACTTATTCCCAGAGACGTCTCTATCTCGCGATATGTAACATGACGATCTTGTATTATTAGTTGCCGCACAGCATCAATATTTTGAGGTAAAACAACCGAATTAAGGCGACCTTCTTTAAATTTGTCCGTGAGCACAGACCGCCCTCGATTAAAGTTACAAAACAAGTGATACACAGTTGTTTTTGATGGTGCTTCGTCCCTTAAAGTCGAAGTGAGTTGATCGATGCACTGTTTTTAGCCCTTACTGAAAATCGTAATAAATCATAGTACGAAAATTTTCACGAGTTAAATCCATAGTGATGAAGACACGCAATTTTTAAAATGACGCCACAAAGGATAAACAAAAATGACAGCTACATGAAACAAAATGTATTCTTCATGTAAAGAATTCCATTTTTAAATGTTATAATTACTTTTCAATATTGTTCTGTAACTGACTAGTTCCGGGTACATAAATAGCAACCCTCGTATATTATGGCTTGCAATTAGAGTTGGAAGAGAATTATTGTTAAAATGGCCTTCATTTTAACTGATTGAACTCAGTCAAAGTAGTGATGACTGCAATGGAACCTAACTTTTAAAGGCGTTAAAGAAATATCATTTATGTTGTATTAAAGTATTATTGCGAACATGATGGTTGTGTCTTGTGTAGGTATTTGTTAGGTGTAGAGTTCATGTGCCAGGTATTTTATGCACCTATGTGATAATATAATTATATTATGTACGTAAAATAAGGTTTAATCAAACAGCTGGATAGCAAGGTAGGTAGGCATAACATTTCGTGCAATTTGTAGATTTCTAAATATATTTTAAATGGAAATAACGAGATAATGTAATACGTATTTATACCTATCAATTGCATGATATTTGGACCGTCTGCCCTCTATTTCAAAAATAAATCATAGTTAAAGAAACTAATAACTTTCTATAAGTTCAAAAAGAAAAATCCACACCACACCACATATACACAGCAAATGAAATACCTGCTCACTAGCACGGAGTACTTACATGTGATTTTAATGAACTATTATTAGAGAAATTGAAACTAATGACGCATACTGGATTTGAAACCATAATAGTTTGCAAATGTATGAGTGGAGATAAAAGTTATTTACAATTCACACATATGTGAACGTATAATAATATACTTACCTTAATAACACACACATGTAAACCTGACCAGGGTCAATTCTCGTAATAAATATTCGTTCAAATTTCAGTTCCAATCTACTCTCATACTAAACTAGTAAAGTATTCCTATATCGATATAATCACATAACAGTTAACGTTGAATGCTCAATACTATACTTTGAAAATACATTTTAAGACATTTGTGAGATTAAGAGTAGGTAGATTGTAACAGATTTTTAACCGACTTTTTACTACGCGAGAATTGGAACTCAGAAATTTCGTTTGCTGTTGTGCATGTAGTGCAATATTATACTGATCTTGTCTCCGAGTGGAGTCACTTGCAATTGTGTAACTCTTAAATTCATTTTAGTGTTTGAACACTCAGAAATGAATTTTATCATAAGAAATAATTTAAAATACGGACTGTTAATTTTGCTAGAACTTAGTGTTACAATAAAGTTAGCGTTAGAAATATAGATATAGGTTTGCACTGAGCCCTCCGTATCACTTGTGCCATGTAGCTGCTTGTAGTTAGCAAATATAACGATAAGGCTGTTTTAAAATTCTGAAGAATCAAATAAAATACATTCTTACACCGATATATTTTTGTTTTATTTTTTTCCTACATTAAATAAATATATACAACCGATAGTTATAAGTGAATTCACAAGATCATCTAATTACAGTGAACCATACTTAATCTATAATGCCTCGAAACTGGTTGATAAACTATAGGTAATGCTTTCGCATACTTTCTTAATAGTCAACAAAACTTTTGCTTATTTTTTACACGACTTTTTTTTATTTAACAGCTCTGAACCATGTGATAAATAATGCACGTAACATATTAAAATCAAAAGTTACGTTTTATTTTATTTGTCACAAACAGTCGTAAATGTTTACACGCGTGATTATTGTTTGAAATAAATAAATTTATTGGTTCAATTCCGTTTAATTATACGAAAAGAGTAAAATGAAACTGAACTGAAGAAATGAATAAACTATTTAATATTACGAAAGATGATCTCGGGTTTTAATTTACGATTTGTAACATAAATCGATTAATTTTTCTAACAATTAAAATGTAACAACACTAAAATTAAAAACCGAAAATGATAGAATGTAACTGGTTTCACAGAAATAAAGGATCACGCAATAGTTTCAAGTCAGCATTATAAATTTTAACTTATTTAGGAATTGTTTAACTTAAATAAGAACTGTTTTACGTTTTGTTTATGAGACTTCGGTACTAGAGAACGCAATCGTGCAAGATGTATACCGCCCTGAGTGGGGCCGCGAGTGGATGGGATGGGTTTTCCCCTCCACCCGCCATAAAGTCCAGCCGCGAGTAGGCGCTACGCTGAGTGTTGTGGGTTCGATCCTCACATGGGACGACACTTTGTGTAATCCACAAATTGTTGTTCTGAGTCTGGGTGTTCTTTGTGTCCGTTTCATGCATGTTTGTAAAGTCCCCCGCGACACAGGATATATTCCTAATGCACGAGTTGTCTTTTAATAATAATAATATACGACTAAAAACCGTTTGTATTTATGCTGTTTCTTTTTTAAAATAATAAATTTTCGAATAGATTGTCTATGAAACTTTTTATTTAGTCATATATGCAGACTCTTAATAACTAGAAACATAACAAAAAATTATATTTTAAAAGGTAAGTTTAATATTCATGAGATAGTGTACCTATTTACTTGTAACATCCGTGTCGTATTTATCCAACAGTAGTGACGAGACATATACGTTAGAATTTTTAAACTAAGGAATATGCATGAATTAAAATATGGCATTAAATACTGAGTTATTAGAATAAGAAAAAGTAATTGGTTTTTGATAGCGTGTTGTGCACGTTGCACTGTATAAAAATTAAATTCCTTTAAGAAATAAGCTATTTAATTATTTCTGTACGGCCGACTATAGATACAAATTCCCACCCCAGACCATGTTATCTAAATTGGAGATGGCGCTTCTTTCCGAAAAAGATCGTGTCAATCGCAATCTTGTGATCAAACTCCTAAAAATCGTTTTTTTTTCGTGTCTGCATTAAGTATATTGTTTTTTTTTTTAGGTACCATTATAACCGATCTCTTATCTACACTAATATTATAAAGCCGAAGAGTTTCATTGTTTGGTTGAACGCGCTAATCTTAGGAGTACGCTACGACCTAGTAGCCGAGAATCAATAAAAATGTTGCAAAAACGAAGATAAAATATTTTTTTTGTGAGAGTCTGCTAGTCATATGATAGAAGGTTATAAGATTTAAACTGTTTATAAAGTGAATCATCTTTTTTTTTTCAATTTTTAGATTCTTAGAACTTTGCTAAAAGTATATAAATTCTTCTCAAAAACTTGTTATAACTGCAATAACTAAACGATTAAGTGTTGTCAACAAAACCCATTCATAGGTTTTCTAAGCTTCATATGCATAAAATATAAATTACATAAAAAATAAAAAACTTTATTTAAATAGCTATTTACGAATGAGCTTATTATGTATTTATCAGTTAAAAACAATCATTTTTTACGGCTAAGGGTGACTGTACAGATTAGACGAAGTAATAAAAGAAAGCAATATTTTAAATCAGTTAATTTAAGGAAAGGGACTAGTAATTTTTGTTCAAATCAATTAGATTAATAGTGACCGTTAGGTAAAAAAAAAGTAACTTAACTGCCGTTAAATACATCCTTGTCATTTAGAAACTTTGAGAGTGGTACAGTAGGATGGTTTACGAATATAGCCATGACAGTGTGTTTATAAGATTTTAATATATAGTACTTACGCTACGTTAACTTGTTGAGGTTGACAGCAATGGCAAGCTGTCATGGGTATCGACTTCAGTACAGTTTATATGTAATCTACAAACTGAAATAAATTTCGAACCCAAAGTTTTAAATAACTGGTAATTAAAACTTTGATTGTCGATAATATTAGCAGCCAAATAAATACAACAATACTCCCTACCATGAGATACGCGGTACAAAATTCCCATTAATGCCTGCCATTGTCCTTTACTTGTTACATTAAATAGTTTAGGAAATATATTATATAGTAAAGCATATAGTTCCCAATGTTTGATGGCTAAACTTTTGATAAAGACAGTCTGTCAAGTCTACTGGGATCCCTGCGATTCCGCTCATCACTTTCGATGTTGTCGCAATCGAGAAAAGGCGCTCACAAGGCACAGATGTTCCCCCGATAGTCATATATTTCATTACTGTTATATATAATTAAGTGAAAAAACTGCTTTTTCCTTACGTGTGTCAAGTAGCACGGAGAACAAAGAAGCTGCAAAACACACGGTGACACCAACGGGCACTGAATATTAACTCGTTCTGATCAACTCTTATAGAGGCATGAAAGGCTAGCTCTCGTATGAATGAACTAGCTGTAAATAATTCTTTGGCTTTTATTAAAACAGAAAAAACGATTTTCTAGGTTGAAATATCGATCTACTGAATCGATTCAGTTACATATCGATTAAAAAGGTCGATTTTGTTTGACCGAGAAATCGTTTCTTCGATTAATCGATCTCAGATCGTCATCCCTAACTAAATTATTTTAGGCCAGCATAGCCAGTGCCCGAGTCGGATAAAGACAACCGCCTGTGACGTCATGACGGAGACAAACCGAATGGAATTTTCCATTAGTGCTGTGCGTGTTTTTGTGAATAAGTTTTTTACGTTTTAATTTTATATTCTGTTTCTACGCTGAAATATTTTGATAGATTTATTATTGATTGATTACTTGATTATTTAGTTTATTAGATTATCATTAATAAGAAATATCAACAATCAACAATGACGTAAATTTGTGCCCTTTTTTTGTCGTATATAACGTATACGGTCTACTTGGCCGATGCACGACCACTAAAAATAAATACTCTATTCTTTTTAACTGATTCTTGAGTGGCTTTTCAAATTTGGTACGTGTAGGTAGTAACTCGAGAAATTATGTTTAATCATAAACTGTTGCTTATGATTAATTTATAATAATAGCACATACAGATAACAATATTAGGTACTCGTCGATATTATAGTAATGCACAACTGCACAGCCCTATTTGTCGTAGGTTTTTTATTTTTATTTGTGAGCTAGGCGCTGGGTGCACGCCAATTGATATACAGCTCGGCGGTTAAAAGGTTAAATTATATTTTATTTAGTTCTGTACAACAGCACAGCACAAGAATTTGACTGACTAGTATAAATGTAACAGTATATATTACTATTAAAATATATAAATATCCACTTATATTTTAAGTGGATATATTTAACAAGTCTTCTTAATCACCCACAGAAGTCGCTACTATGGCTTCTATTGGCCAGGATCTACATTAGACTTCTTAATACTTTTACGAACTTAAAAAGTATCTATTTAAAATGACCCCAATAAGTTATTTCGGTAATTGATGGTTAATAACAAAGGAGGCGATTGATGGTTTATTGTTGTAATAATTATAATTCATTATACATTAATAAACTTAAAAAAAATCACCATAATTTTCGAAACTTAGAGGAATAAACAGAGTAAGGGCTAACGCGCACCGGTGACTTTTGTGACAGTGACAAAGTTTTATCACTGTCACGTCACGTTTCCAAAATGAAGTGCGCTCACGAAGGGTGATAACGACAAACTGTTTTGAAATTTAAGCGGCATTTGCCGATGTGGATTTCGATGCCACTGTTTTACGTAAACTCATCAGAATCAGCAGAAAAAAAAATGAAAAGAATAGGGACTGGGTACATCTTTGACATATTATATATTTAATAAATTTATTAATATTATATATTGGATACTAAGTGCAAAGTTCTACACTAAGTTATATAACTTCGAGAATATCCAAAAATAATATTATATATATTTATCTCTTTTTTACTTTAATAAGCAAATCAGATAATCAACAGTATTTTGTGAAGACTTACGCATGTTAACGCAATTTTGTTACCCTTGCGCGCACTGCTATAAAACCTATTGAAGCGGTGACAGTTTCATCACGGGCTGTCACGTCATAACGTGCGCGTTTCACCATACATACTCACAGACTGGATTAGAGTGACAAAACAGTCACGATGACAAAAGTCACCCTTGCGCGCTAGTTCTAAGTAAGAAGCTACTAGTTTTTTATTGAAGTCGGTTAAAAGTTTGAAGGGGTTGCTCTAATTATCTATGGTTACAGTGTGCAATGCTTATCATACATATCTTTTTTGTAAATTGTAAGATTCCCTGTAGATCCCTGATCCATCCGTATGTATGATCGCCGAAGAACGAACGAATAATTATAAGAACGAAGCACCTACTATAGTACATTATCTTAAATATTTACACAACAAATACAAACATCCTTCACAATAATTTTTTTTTGCAAGTCGGAGAAACTAGCGCCACCTATCTGTTGCAAATATGATGGCTGTATATATATATATACATATGTGTTTAAAACGATACCATATATTTTAGCTTTTTAACTAACTCTTATAATTGTTTAAATTGTAAAAATATTGTAACTACCCGCAAATTATATTGCTTTTTTTTTAATAGTGATTAATCTACTATTATTGAGTAATATTCATATTTAATTAAGAGATACGGTTATATTAACGTGTGTAATATCACTTTTGTAATATCTTGAGTAAATTTCACTTACAGCTAGACTACACTTATTAATTCCTTAAATTAAAACCTTCACGAATTTTGGCAACAACAAACACTTTTTATTTATAACCAAAATCGAAGTCATAGTATATTCTCTGTTAGGCCTCAAAACAAGAAAAAACAAAACTCATTTTGTTTTTGTTAAGTGATAAGCTGATATATGATGCAACAATTACAGCGTAGGGCATTAATCAATGCATGTGTTAAAAGTACACGAAGGCTACTAAATGGATAGACACATTTTGTTAAACATCAAACGTTACAGGCGATAATCGATTGTAGGATACAATAAATAGTCACAAAGAGTTCTGTATTATCGACTAATAAACATATTATAGATACATATATTTTACAAACATACCTTTTTTTAAATATTTTTTGTAAGAAGTTTTGAAATAAAATAATTATAATATAATAAACAGAGAGTAAAGTCAATTTATAATGCTTACAGATTACAAAACTCATAAGATGGTATATAACGAACATATATATAGAAAAAGGAAAGATAGAAATGAACTAATCTAAATCATTACTGGCAATATATACAGGCATGTCTATTGGCCTAAATTGTACATAAGAAACTGAACTTATGCCCACAATTGCAAACACAAGTGCAACACTGTCGCCACATGTTGATAGTATTGACACGACATCCGCGCCGGACGGGAACATTGATGATTCACTGAAACAGACCGATAAATATAATTAGGTTTGAGTAGCACTTCTCTTGCAATGAGCCTCTGTTAATCGAGAGATATTTGAAAAATCTATCAGCCGAAAGTCGGAATCATGATCCTTCGATTTCTCAATTGTATTATAGGGACTTAGCAAGTAAGGATTATGGCTGGGTTCTAATTGCCAGCTGACAGTCTTCCAAAAATCCACTACGAGGGTACAATCCCTTTCAGAATAGGGAAGAAAGAGGATAAGGAAAACAAATAATGCGAGGGCGATAAGTTTTGGATATTGTAAGTTCGGATGAGGAAGCAGGTCTGTGACAGTGCTGTCGCTAGAAGAAGCCGGAGTGATTAAACAGGCCTAGTGCTAGAAGATAGGGGAATTAAATAATTTTGAGACAAACATGCATAAAATTAAGGTACACTTACTCAAGGACTATAATTCTGAAATGTGGTTTTGGTGGATTTGTTTTCTTGAAGTTCGTTATTTCCTTACGGTATGCATCAAAGTCGATAGTTAGTGTTGTGTCAGTTTTGAGTTCTTTATTATTCTTAATAATTCTAAGCTTCTCTAAAACTGACGCAGTATTTGAGCAATCTTCTGGGTCCAATAAGGGTTTCAGTCCAGATTGATTAACTGATTCTTTGATAGCCGACATTTGTTGTTTATGTTCATTTTGATATGCAATATCCGTCTCTTCCATGTGCTGTAAAAAAGCTATTTTTCCTTCTAACCAATTATCAAATTCTCCAACATTACTCTTCACATAATTTAATAAAAATTGTTCTTTAAAAACATCAAGGAAGAGTGAATTCATCACGTTTTTTTTAACAACCTCTGGTCTACCGAAATCATTTTCACTTGGCAACCAGTTTCCATTAAAAATCCTTGAAAGGTTTTGGTGTTGTGAAGTAGCCTCCATAGTTGTGAAATCATTAATATAATTTTTCGTATTTGTAGATTCTTTGCTGGTACTGGCTTTGGGTTCTCCTTGTTGTTCAGAACGGCGTTTAAGAATGTTGAAAGGGTTTCTTAATTTCTTGCCTTTATAGGCGACTTGAGTTTCAGTTAACACGCAATCTGATTCTGAATCCGATTCAATATTAATAAATCTTCTATCTATAACTTCAAAGTTAACATCCATATGTATATCGGCATCATAAGATTTATTGAAAGTTTTAATAGCTTTCGACAATGCTCTCTTATGTGTAGACGTTGCCTTCTTCTCAGCATCTAAGTCCTTCAATTTTTTCGCCAGCTTTCTTAACAAATTTAAGTTTTCATCAAACTTATCACTATCTTGCGTCAATCTTGGAACCTTATTTCTTGTATCACCGTCATCTCCTAAATCAATAGTTTCTACAATATCATCATCATCATTGATTACATCGAATTCTTTTGTTAATCTTAGATTGGTCTTGTACCTCGTGTTGTATGCATATAAAAGCCGGTGTAAAGATTCAATGTTTTGACTGTGGTAATTGCCATTCATGATAAGTTGTTTTAATCTCATAGATAAACTTTTTATACTCTGCAAACGAGTAGCTCTGTCATTTCTCATACGTTTTCGTGGATTATTATTTTCATTTCTATGATTAGGTGGTAAAAGTATATTATTAGGATTATTGTATAAATAGTGTCTTTGTGAAGGATTCGGCCTTGGCTGATACTGAAGGCGAGAATGAAAATACACATTGGAAAAAGGTGGCCTTTGAAAAACCATGTTAAATTGGACATAGTTAAGATGATTTTGGGGCCGCCAAAAATGGTTAGGTCGGTAGAATTGATATTGGTTAGGTCTAGACAAATTTTCAGGGGTATTGGTGGTGGAGATACTTCTCAATCTTCTTACGTGATTGTCATTTGCTTCATCCGAGCTATTATAACTTGAGCGGTCACTTGAGTTAGTTCTCGTGCACTTTCTCCTTATGTGCTTTAAATTCAACACATAAGAAGATTTATTCACAAATACATTTTTAGGAACATACTCTTGTTTTGGAGCATCGATTAAAACAAGTTCCCTTCTAAAAAAATCAGGAAAACTGCCAAAATTTTTATCGAGAGTTTTGAAATCACTTGGTTTGTATTGTCGCCCAGTCAATCTTTTCAGTTTCGTTACGTAATTATGAAACATCTGATTCCTATTACTTATGAGTGCATCTGAAAAACAGATACTTTTGTTGCTATCACCTATTTCAGTTTTCTTGCTGTCATTATTTGGCTCCAGACTTTTAGGTGGACCTGTAATGATACATAAAATTGTTGTTAGCTTATATTAATTACTGCTCTGAAAATTCTTAACACATTGTGACCCCTTCATGCCTCGGAGAGCACGTTAAGCCAGTGGTGGGGTTTGCCATAAGAGCATCTGTGGCAATCGTTACAGGTAGTTGAGGCCCTAGAAGGTCCGACAACAGTCTTTCTACAGAAATTCGATAACGTCTAGTACTAGGGTTCTGGAGATCTGATGGAAGTCGCTCCACTTAAAAAATCGAAGTTTAGCCGTATCCTAGTAGACTAAAGCCCGACCCCAACCTAAGAGCCTACCTAGTTGGAAGAGGAGGAAGGTTAATATTACTGATCCATTTTTTTTTAACACTTCATAAATGTTTTACTTTTTATAACTTTACCTAATTCCAACGCTATGCCTGACTCTGCAGTGTGAGTACTCTCATTGTTGTTGCTTTCAGTTTCGACAGCTGTAAAAAAATAGAAGTTAGTTAGTTAATTAATCTTAGTAAATATTTATAAGATATTTGTTTATGAAATTGTGTTTAGCATGACGTCTATTTTAAATTTTCGTTGAAATAAAATACCAGAGCAAAACACACTAAACAAACAATTTTTGGTAAAAAAAAACTATTATTTGATGATTCTGTGAAAAAAAGGGATTTTAAGATTAATTAATTTGTGTTTCTGTAAAATATGTTTCATTCAAAGGATATTTTCACTCAAATTCTATATGTAAGTACACAATAATTTCTTACTGGAATCAGCTGCCGCTTGACAACAACACTCATTGTTAACATCCATTGCAGTAACTATATTTTTATTTTTATCATCTTCAGTACTGTTCACATTGCTCTTTTCTTCACATGCCTTAACATCTGATGTAGCAGTATTTTCAATTATCTCATTTGCATGTTTTCTAATTAATTCTTCTTGACTTTCTCTATTAGATGGCATCGGAATATCATCAAGTACTATGACTTTATCACATTCACCATTATTAGTTTCAGTGTTTTCAGATTCTAACCTTTCAGTCAAAGATTGTGCATTAGTATGGTCATTTTCACTTATATTAGTCTCATTTGATTCAGTTTCTTCTACTTCCATAACACAAGGGGATTCTTTAATCTCAACAGTTTTGTTTTTCTCACTGTCTCCTTCTTCAATTGTTTTATTTTTTTGATTCTTTTGAATATCTGTACTGTTATTTGGCTTTGTATTTGGCAATTGTTCACAAATATTTGACTGCAAATCACTTGTTTTATTACCACATACTTCCATTGACGAATCAGATAGTTTTTGTTTTAAAATATTTTCTACAACCATTTCATTAGGAGCAGTCATCGGATTTATTTTTCGGCCATTTAAACTTTTGTTGTGCCGGTATACTTTATAGCCAAGCCTGCTTAGAGAAGCGTACACTCTATACTGATTATATGTCAAATTACTATTAAGCACTAGAGAAAATGCTTTTTGCAATGATACTGTGACATCGTTGTGTTTGAGGAGTAAAGAGTTCTAGAACAACATAAATTCAAATAAGGACTTAAGCAGGACTCAATGGAGTGGAATAAAGAGCCAATGACAAAATCAAAACATTCTTTTCCGAAGGCAGAATGACATGATTATTTAATAAACATATAAGAATTCAGAGACTTATATGACAAGATGGAAAAATAACTGAATGTTATTTATTCTTCCTCATTGTATTCTGCCAACTTTTTACTACTTCCATGGGTAAATAATATGACAATGCTACAAGTTATACAATATAAAATTGTTAAAAGAACTAGGCAATTTTTTTAGAAAGGTAGTAGAAAATAGAATTAGGAGCAACTTACGACTTCCATCAGAAAAAGAACTTCTTCTGGTCTTAGATACAAAGTTTTTCCAACATTGTGGCCAAAGTACTGCCAGCAACCACTGGTTTTCTGGGTGACTTCCGCTAGTTGTAAATCATCTCGCCATTGAGCGTGAGAAATATTGCCACTGAAAGAAACCATAGAAAAAGTTATAACAGCAGCAACAGCAGAGAACAGGATAATTAATGGTTTAAGTATTAAGATACTGCTTCAATAATTCAAAATAACAGGTACAATATAATATATTGTGACGGTTAGTCACTTGATAAATATATCTGTCTTTAAATATACCTGAAGAGGCGAAGGATAGTCGTAGAGGCGAAGGATAGACGAAGGATAGTCGTAACTGTCTATATTGAGTGATAAGATGGAGAGGTCTCAGCCTTTGAGATTGATAGCCAGTCTGTTCACTGGAAATAATATCTGTAGCAATGGCGATAGCATAAGCCCCTTATGTTGCAGAGGTTATCAATAAGTGTGCCAAGGGGAGCTCTGATGTGCCTGCCCATTCTCTGGGCACATGACTTAATCCCAGTTGCAGTCTAGAAGCCCACCCTAACGGGCATGGTGTTCTAATTGTGGACAGGTATCCACACTGGACGAAATTTTTCAGATCAATTGAGGTTGGGGTCGCAGTTTTAACCTAACCTACTTTTCTGGTAGCAATTCTTTCTGATAGGGTCGCAGTTATAACCTAACCTACTATTCTGGTCCTTTTTTTTGGTTCTAACTTAACGCCTAATTAATCTTAGTAAATATTTATAAGATATTTATTTATAAAATCATGAAATTATGAATAGCCTGACATATATTTTACATTTTCGTTGAAATAAAATACCACAGCAAAACACACTAAACAACCAATATTTGTTAAAAAAAATCTATTATTTAATGATTCTGAGAAAAAAAAAGGGATTTTAAGATTCATTAATTTGTGTTTCTGTAAAATATGTTTCATTCAAGTAAAATACTCATTAAACAATACTATGCAAAATAAAAATACAAGAACCAAATATTATATGAAACATCATATTGAAACAACAATCTATGAAACAAGGAAACACCATGGATTATACCTGTAGGGAGAATTAGTCCAGACTTCTTTTTGTTACATTTTTACAACTTTCCCACTCAAAGATCATAAAAAAAATTTGTACATTATTGACAAGGGTACAGAAGCGAGAAAAGAGCTTCACTGTCCCGTGCCCTTCAATTGAAAAAAATAGTTACCAATAAGTGCTTTTAATATAAAAGTACTGCCTGCAGAACAGCTAGTTGGTACCTTTCAATATAACAAGAAATTATGAATAATACAATAACAATTAAAGGTACTTACATCTTTTCTATTCTTTCAACCTCTAATATGTGTTTTTGTGAATCTAACGCTGTTTGTATCTGTTTCTGCTCCAGCCAGGAACCATCAGGTACAACATCTTTGGAGCCCACTTCAGGCAAGGTAATACTTTGCTTAGTTACACCTTTGGCCACTAAAACATCACCTCTGAAAATGTAAAAAAAATAGTTTGGAATTGTGAACTAAAATAAATATTCCACAATCTTTACAAGCCACCAAAATAAATAAAGTATTACTTAAACCTATAAAAGTCATGGTATATCAACATCTTTGTATATAACCTGTTTTAAAAAACATTAAGAACAATAAAGAGAAGACAGTTAAATGGACCAAAAGTCAACTTAGGAGGCTGTGGGCAGCTTGTTTCAAGATATAAGTACTATTATAGTAGAATAAAGAATTTGCCTCTATATTTTATTCATTTATTCAGTTTCAGATGACAGAGTTCACTTTGTGATTTCCCGCAACATACACCACTTTTCTTTTGGAAATCTCCGATGAAGACCATCAAATATCAGCACACTGGCAGGTGCTACAGTACACTATCAGTAATCTCAAGAATGATCTCTTAATACAAGCAGTTAGGTTAGTCAAAAAGGTGGAAGTCTAATACAAATAATGTTGTTTACTTTAATACATCTAAACATAAAACAGTTAAAAAGTATAAATAGGCACAGTAAGTAAGTATGCACAGTTAATAATATACTTAAATACCTTCATTTTTAATATCGTAAGTAGAATAGAGTAAAATTTCTTGGTATTACACATAGGCTACAGTTTTTTAATAGCCAAATAGTTTATAATTATTATTTTTCCAATTATTCTTATCTACTGCACTATTAGTGTAGTTGTGTATACGATTTTTATTTACAGTCGGTGAAAAAAACTAAATAATCAGATTATTAATACTTTAAGCAAAAGCTGCGACGTATTCGATTTAAGTATTGTTTTTCTATAACACAACATCTTTTCACGAGATCTAACAGTTATAACCGGCAGGTAGCTCTTGTACAATCCCTTTATTTATGTTATGGATGGATGTATGATGTAAATCGTTTCAGAAGTAAAAATCGGTTAAAATCTATAGATAGGATAGGAGGCAAATGTGTTTTCATCTACATACCATTAACATCACTATTTTTTCATTGCACCAACAACCAACACCGCAAAATGGGTATTATATTTTCATGACACATCTAATCAAAATGATAAAATATTAATTATTTTTAACAAAAGAATATTATATTTACTTACGATAATATTTTAGGCTTATCCATATTGCACGCATATGATAAACACAAACGAACGTGTATTCAAAACCAAGTTATAGATTTGACTTACAGTACAGCGATACTCTTCACAGACTGACTATTTGTCAAAAAGTGTTTTTATTACATTGCGCATTGCGCTCCAATCATTGCATTCCATTCCAAGCCAAGTGTTCTGTTGTAGAATAAAAGTTAAGTACCTAGTAGAAAGAGATAGCTTCGTCACTCTTTTATTTAAAACAGCTGTCGTCCAGTTCATTGTAAATCGTTGCCATGTTTAAAATAACATAGCATATTTGTACGGACTGACAATTTGACATCTACAGGCAGCTACAGCTGTGCAGAAATGGTTATTTATTCCTCAAAAATTCCAGTAGCGATGAACCAATTTAATAGGATAGAAATATTTTTTTAAACAACTGCAATTTTGAGAAATCATTTTTTATACTAAGTTATATTTTGTAGGCCGAATAAGAATGGATGACGGTTCTGTTTCTGCACTTGTTGACAGTTTTTTTATTACCATTTTTTATGTAATTTACTTTAAATGTGCTTTGAAGAAATGTGAGATTTATACAAATATAAAGACATATTGATAGACTTCGTCATGTTCAGATGTAAAGCGTTTTCTACTATTGATGTATCTTTTATGAATAAATAAGTATATTTAGTGATGCTATTCTCATATAAAAAAAAGACGTGTGGCATTTTGTATCAACTTATGCAATTATAATTATTTATTTATTTTATTTATGCAGTATTTCTTTTTCTTTGATATTAATTCAAGTTACACTTTTTGAGCGTGGTGACCGATAAGAAAACAATTTTTTTTCTTTTATTAAATAAAAATATTGAAGCATATATTACAATTTGTTTTTAAATAAATAAATAAAAAATATTATTATTAAATCAAATTACATATCCATGTAAGATTTTTCTGCATTATGTTGACGAAATTTCTTTTGACGTTCAGCATTTGATTTTGGTACTGTTTTTTGTTTTGTTTTTAGCTTGAGATTTTTTTTCGTTACGGAATTTCTGGATTCGGTCCCCGCGCTCAAGGCCCTCGATAGAAGCTATGCAATAGCTTAATAACTACTAAAATAAAATAGCTTTAGATTTTCTCTTAAATGCAGGATTTGAAACTTATTTTCTAAGCAATTCTTATATCCTAATTTTAGCTGCTGAATATCAGTGTAATATGAACCATAATTGATTTTACTCGGAATATAAAAGGTATCCGTACAAAATGTGGACAAAACTAAGGCACCGTAATGGCGGCAGCTCTCTATGTGTAAATGGATTTTAGGGTTGCTAAAAACACAGTTAATTAATAAAAATATTTTATTTATTTCGAAATTTGACTGTTTCTACTGTTAAGTATCCCAAGTGCTGAGTATTTTTAATAATAATCTTTTACTTTGAGAGGTTCTTGAAATTTCCTCTAATTTCGAGATCCGGTGAAAGACTTATTTTGTGTTCTATTACAGCGAAAGTATGGTCAGATTCTAAGTTTAAAAAAAGCTTTCATTGCCAACAAACTTTTCTAGATTTTTGTGAGATTATATTTGTATTGTCTTACATTTTCGCCATGACAGTTTTTAAATTTTTGAATCCAATAATTTCTCCATACTCTAATTTTCTTACAAAATCTAAAAATAAAAAATACCTAATAGTAACTAATAAATAAATTATCCTAATAAATTGATTTTAATAATAAACCAAAAATTACTTGTAATTTGCACACGTGAAAATTGGCAACACTTTTTCTTTCGGTCACTATTGTTTTTAAAGTTTCATCACGCAAAACGTAATGCGTCTCGCTGTCTCGATGTTTGCGCGTGTAATGGCTGAGTGCTGACTAATATGTGTATGTGACCTTTTTTGTTTTTTTTTTTTCGTGCTGAAATCCCCTCGGATAGCACCTAGTGGCATGTCGGACTCGAACCGACTAAAACCGCACGTCGTCTCGGGTATTAATAGCCGGGGAACCAGGTATAGCCTAGAAAGGAAGTCCCTGGTGCTGTGTATGTGACCGTGTACGTACAGCGAGCTGGCCGGCTATGAGTGACACAGTTTTTTGTAAGCGGGACTATGTCCGACTTTTTTATATGTCCATGTTGGAAAGATAAAACTTTTTTTTTTGGCCTAGTGTAGCTTAGCTATAGTATAATCTAAGGGTATGTTATAGAAAATAAATCAATATTCGTTCAGTCCGGTAGACGTGGTCTGGTACCGATGTTTGAACGTCCCAAGTAAGTTTTTTGGTACCCTTTCAGGGAGCTCCTGAGTCCGTTTAGTGATTAAAAACTTTTTTATTACAAACTAGAGTTGCAACGAATAGTATATTCGGCAGTATACCGAATACCGAATATTCGGCGAGGCCCCTGACCGAATAGCCGAATATTAGGCAAAAGTATTCGGCTGGATTTTAGCGCCAAAAACTTGTACAGACGTGATTGTTTCGCCCGCGCGCCCGCTGTTGCTCTGCGCGGTATATTGCTAACGCACTGCATGTTTCGACAAAATAAAATGCAGAAAAGTTAGTCTTTCAGCACCATAACCTTCCCCTTCTAAATTTTGATTACCACAATAATTCAAATACATAGAATCCTCCATTTTTCCAATTCAGAAGATGATTATGTACCTGTGTTATGCACCAATGACTACTTAAATGATTATAACAGAAATGAAAATATGAATATATACGTAATCAATCGATTTTAATTTTTCATTTTACCAATTATTTCTCTATGACAAAATATATTATTTAAGTATTCGGTATACGGCCGAATAATATGTAGATATTCGGTATTCGGCCGAATTTAATAAAAGCAGCCGAATAGGCCGAATACCGAATAGTAACCGAATATTCGTTGCAAGTCTATTACAAACTAATGTGAACTACACTTGAACCATTTATTTTGTACCGATTTTTGTGTGCTCGTTGTCACACATTGACTTTCCTCCCCCCAGAATCAGAGGGAAGAAAGGTTTGGGCTCCGGTAACCTCACTAATTTGTGGCCCTTTTGCTTTCCATGATAATTAATTTTGCTGGGGTAACGTTTTGCTTGTGGCCAGATCTAAAAAACTAGAAGAATGCAAGATCTCACACTGCACGAGAAACCGTTTTAACTCTACAGGAGCTGTAGTTAGAAACCATACGTCATCGTCCGTACTCGCGAGACCTTGCTCCAACGGACTACAATTTTTTCGTGATTTGGTCAATTTTCTACGTGATAAAAAAATCTCTTCCCAGGAGGCAGTACAAAATGCTTTCACACAGTTTGTCGAATCTAGATCTCCAGAGTTCTATCGTAAAGGCATAAATGAACTTCCGTTTAGATCCCAGCAATGCAGAGATAATGAGGTTAAATATTCTAATTAAATAAATATGTTACATCTTAGAAAAAAACGACTTTCAATATATATTCAGTACAAATCGTCAATTTCATACTTTAACCCCTAATATAATAAATAAGTAAAAATGATAGATTTAAAAACAATTAAGATAGATACTGGTAATGGAATATTGTCTGAAATAAAAGCTTTTATTATTACATTATACATCTCTAAATATTGATTACATTTTTAAATATATTACAAAAGAAAAAAAAAACATTTAAAAATACAAAAAATATTAAACCACCGACATAGGGTACAGGGATCAAAGGGATCAAGACACCAAGATAGGTGGTTAGGACTCCAAAGACAGGAACCTCCTCATTATACGGGCCGTGTCAAGGAGAACTGCCTGCTGCATCTGGCCCTTGATCCAGCCGTCTAATGTGAGCCTCTCAAGATGTTGGTCGAGGCTCTTGGCTATCAATCCATGAGCAGATACGACTATCAGAATAATGATCGCCTATTCCATTTTCCACATAACGACAATCTCCTGAGATAAATCCAAATATTTTATTTGTTTTTCTTTTTCAACTTTCACGACATTCTCGTCAGTAGGAACGGCGATAACAATAATGATTGCGCGACTCTCTAATCGATCTATATAGCAACAATAGTCCTGTCTGTAATAATAGATCGATCCCATTACAACGTGGTCCGACCATTCTCGAGAACTGGGTCGGGTACATACCTGTTGTAAGGCACCTCTAGATTCACAAGTTGGTATTTAAGGGAAAGCAATAGCTTGCCTTTTGTGTGTTGTGCCTGTGCAAATAATCATCGTTACCGAGAAGAGAATAACCAGAAATAATAGACCTGATTAATTCCCCAGGACGGTGGCATGCCCGACAGATGTTTACCATACAATCTTTCAGGATATATTTCCGATAGTTATTTGTCATGATAACTTCGTCCAGTTTCTCCTTGTCTCGTAGAGGCTTTTAAGTCTATATCGGACACATTTAGTGCCCGATATAGGCATGAGTTTGTTTGCCCTTTTTTTCAACCCTTTGGAAATGGGTGGTTGTAGATTGGCAGAGGCATATCACAGATTTTGTATAAGTTTAATTTTTACTAAATTTATTTTGCTTAGTATTTGATAAAACTAAGATTGTTGCTATTGTGTGTGTGTTGATCTATGACATTAAAGTCTATATAAAAGATGATTTCAATTTTTTTAAACTTTACGTAATAAAGATATTTTGAGTTTGAGATATTCTGAGTTTGATAAAACAAACCATCGAGCTCTTTGCCCTTCCATACTTCCCTGCGATCATTGGTACTGAGTACCAATGAGTGTGGGCCAATTCTCTTTAGACTGAGCGAGCGGAGTGATTCCGGTATCCACTGCAACTACATTGCGATGCGCTTCCATCAGTATATAGAAAATATTCTCTAAGATTGTGTATCTCGCGATTGTGTAGGGTCTTGATATTTAGTAGCCCACGACCCATAAACATCCACGGGAGATGCATCCTCATAACCGATGATCGTGGGTGGTGCATTCGGAAGTCCTGCCTCCTGTCAAGGGCATCTAATTCGGTCCGAGTCCATTTAATTATAGCAAAGGAATACATCAGAACCGGTATGACCCAACTATAGCAAG